CCTCCTCATCTGACGTTTCCTGGAAAATCCTGCGTTTCACTGGAGGAAGGAAAGTACAGAAGACGAACCTTGGGACAGCTCCGGAAAGCAGGAAAGGAAAAGGGAGGAGGACGGCGTTTTTTTTGGCGATCAAGTGTTCTCTCGTCAAAACCGCAGACGTTAGGCTTTGAAGAAATGCGAGGAATGTTAAGAAAGGGCATACCTGCAGAAGACGCGAGCCAAAAACAACATCCTTATTCTGCGGAAAAAGGGCCTGTCACAAAGTCTGAGTCCAGGTCAATGCTAAAGCTCGTATCAGAGCTAGAAAAAAGTTATGGAAAAAAAAGCAAATTGAGTCCTTTTTGAATTGTTGTTCAATGAGATGAGACCGTGTTTAAGACCACACAGTAGTATCAAACAAGAACTATGTCATTTTCGGGCGGAAATGGTTTCAAACGGCTCCGTCTTGCTTTTATTCAATTGCAGGTGTTTTTTCTCCACCTGTAATCCACCTGTTGCTTCAAAGCACTGAAAACTGGCAGACTTTTTTTTACCCAGGCTTGGCAACAGCACAAAGACCATGAGCACACTGTATTGTTATGAAACTGAAAACAAATGAAAAGTTCTGGGATTTAGTCACACTTAAAGTAAGGGTACACAACTTTTTTGTTGTTCTTGCATAAGTTATATATTTTGTTCACTCCAACAGAAATTATTGTAAAATAAAAATTATCAGACCTCAACATAAAGTCTGCATTTATTTTGAAAACATTTTATCTTTTGGGTTGAGAGCTGATTGACTTAGCAAGCATTTTGTTACGCAACAAAAATTTTTGTGGATTGAAAGTTATGTACCCCAGCTTAAAAAATATTATGTGACTATAATATGTGTGATATCATACATACAAGTCATTTTTGTCATCAGCTGAAGTCTCTTTATTGCTATTCACCCCCTGTCCCATTTCCTGTTTCATGGCGTGATGATGGGACTCCTAGATCCGGGCTCTTTCATCTGAACCTGTGGACTGGTCTCCCCGGCCTGGAATTGTGGGCTGCACCCCCCCACCACCCTGCCTGGGAGCCCCCTCAGTCCTCGTTCTGAAGTCTGAGTCCTGGATCTATAGCCTTTCCGTCTGTGGGAGCAGACTCTCCCAAGGGCCCCTCTGAGGTTTCTCACTTTTTTCCCACTGATTCATTTGTTGTTGTTCCTTGCTGATGCAGGAAGGTCTAGGGATACGGGACATTTAAGGACATTCATAGACACATTCATTCATTAACATTATGAACATTGGTCACTCCACTTATTATGGACCAATGGCTCCTATGTGTTTGTTATTACTGCAGTTCCGTTTCGAACAGTTTGATTCTCTAATCTGTCATTTGTGAATCGACAACTTTGTAAAGTCTGAAATTGAGTGTATGTCCTTTACTGATAATGTCCTTGCTTGGTTTTGTGTACATTTTTGTTTAATCAAATGATGATGGTGATGTGGTGAATGTGAGAACACAGCTTTGGGAGGGGGAAAAAAAGTCTACTCGTTAAATATGTAAAGCGGCTTTATCCAACAACCTTTAAAAAAAACTTATAATGTTTATCTGTGTCTATTATGCTGCTGTCATTTCGGGCTAATCAAAAGAATAAAGAAAATGTCACTATTTATAACTGCTCCTAGATTTACGACTACAAACACTGTCTGCAGTAGTACTACCACTACAACAAGGGAAATGTTTTTCTCCAACTGCAAAACACTCGATACCGCTATTCCTGCAAGTGGTGTTTATCCGTGTACCACACCATCAGACGTACAACTGGGCATAAATCATTTTCAAAGCCAAAGTCGCCACACACACCTGTTTTATGACTCATCACTTGACAAACCACAGCTATTCCACTTTCACAACACATAACCACAAAAACACAGCACTTTCTGTCACTGACCTGCAATGATGTGGGTATTAAGAAACTCGCAACATCGGGGTGAAATTTCCCCCTAGTTTATTCTGCCTTGTCACTGTGAGACCGCGATAGGCGTGGCTGCGTGATTCGGTAACTATGACTTCTGCATCCAAAAAGAAGACATCATCGCCTTTTTTTAATGATGGAAGCACATGGTAACCTCATGACAGAGGAGCGCTCCTGTCTGCTGCTCCCACTCCGCCTCTGCGAAAGAACAGCCAGCACCAGGAAAAAAACACAAACCCAGCCAAAACGATTCTCAAACTCATATTTTTAGTGCTGCGTAATTGAATCACCGGCCAGTTTCTCGTCGGTTATTATTTGACGCAAAAGCATGTTGTTAGGAGATCAGTACAGACTCTCATTTACACTCGGAAAGTGAGTCCTTTACAGATAGAATCCTGGTTTGGTTTTGCGTAAGTCCTTGTTTAGTCCGATTAAGTCCTGGTTAATAGTCCCAATGTTGTTGAATGTGCAAACACAGCTTTCGGAGGGGAAAAAAAAGTCTACTCGTTGAAAACAGTGTATGTAAAAATGCTTTGTCCAACCCCCCTAAGAAACAGTATTGTTAATCTCTGTCTATTACAGATGTATTATTTTTGTGTATATGAAAACTTGTGCAAATTGGAAGTAAATAATCTAATCTGGATGAGATGTTCTGCAATAATAAACCATCCATCCATTTTCTTCCCCTTAATCAATTTCTGGGTCGGGGGGCAGCAGTCAGAGCTGCACCCAGTCCACTTAGCACCAGCCCCTCACTGATCCTCCTGCAGGTGGTGAGTCCACAGGAGCTGAGATTCAGCAGGGGCTTCAGGCAAAGTGGGGTTAAGTGTCTTGCCCAAGGACACAACGACAGCAGACATCAGTTGGAGCCGTGAAGTAGGTCACTATATCGAATTAAAAATTCTCTATGCAGTTCTAGCAAATTCCATGATGATTAATACATTAATAGGCTAACAACAAACTACAACAACATGGTTAAACTTAGGTTAAGCTATTGGTTAAATCAGATGACCCATTCTAAATACAGTAGTTGTGTGGATTGGATATTATAGCAACAAACAATTTTAACATGTGGTTCTAAGTCTAGAACCACATGTTAAAATTGATATGACTAAGCCAGGACTTAACCTGGTCTACTCTGGGACTAAACCGGGTCAAAACGAGACATATGTGTGTCATAAGAGGAACATACCACCAGAGGCAAACCAGAAAGTGTCTTGTGTGACACCAGAAAGAAGTCAGGAAATCAGCAATGACCAGTGGTGTTGAGAACCATGACCCTCTCAGATCTAATTAGAAGACATCACTCACTGGCTAATATTTTCCATGCATCACAATAGCTTTAAAAGGTCATTCTTATAGCTCAAGCCAAAAGACAACACAGTGACAAGCAATATTAAACCAGTAAATAAAACATACTCAGCAACAAGCGCTTGTTATGGTGCCCAGAGGAATGTGAGTGTAATATAGTTTTGATTTGGTTCTTTGTTTAGGGTGAAAATAGTTCAATCAAGTGGCCAAACTGCACTTTTGGAACTGAAAAAAAGATTGAGTTAACTAAATCTTGTTAAATGAAACTTCTATAATATATGCCTTTAATCAAACCAATCAACCAACAAATAAATTGAATCCAAACATATGAACAAACCTGCAAAATAGTTGAGCATATATGGTGCAGTGAACATTATTTAAAGGGACAAAATGTATATCCCAAAATGCATACAACAAAAAGATATCCGTTTTGCCTTTTCAAACCACAAAACATAAACTATGTAATATTGTATCTCTTGAGTAAGTCTCTAGCTTTGGCCTCATCAATAGTTTTCACATGCATCAGTAGTTTTCACATGCATGTATTTCTGACCACTGTCTAATCAAGATCAGCCTTTTCAGACAGAGAAGTGAAAAAGAGAGGTCCACCCTCAGCCAATCAGCTCTCAGCCCAAAAGCGCTAAATAGTGGCTCACAGGGCTCTTTCTAAAACGCAAGCTATGTTTTCTTATGAAATGAAGACAGCCAGTTATGGTATAAATTGTTCTCAAAAGATTATGTTTACAAACCACTTTCTGTTGGAACAAACACAATGTATTTAGAAAACAAAATTAGGTACCCCAGCTTTAAGGAATCAAGTTCATTGCGTCTGTTCAGAGCAAATGTGGAAAAAACAATACTTTTTCTCCCTATTGTCATTGCTTTAACAATTGAGATAAGATACAGCTATTCTTCAAGGAGGTGATTGATGGTTTGTGGAAATGTCTTGTGCTCCCTTGACTGATGCCCCGGACTGAGCGGTCAGCCCCGGTGGTCCCGCTCCCCTCCGTGCCCTTTGTCCCACATGTCTCTCAAATGCACACCACGTGTTGTTTCCAATGTCAAAAAGTAGGCGCGTAAATCGCCTTTTTTTTTAAACACAACTCACGGCAAATCGAGCGGAAAAAAGGAGCGGAAGGGGTTTTTAAGAGGGTGGCGTTACATGTTAATTTAGCCACAGTGAGCTACAACCATGTTTAGTAGTAAGTAAGCGAGTTATTACAATGTGTAGAAAGTTAAGTAGGCCTAACCGAAAGAAGTGTATAAATTAAGAAAAACAAGAATTATGATATCACAATTTTATATCTTTTCATTATTCTAATTACACATTTGTTTTATTAATTAATATTCATAACTTTATGTATGATGTTTTGGTCAATGACATGTTCTTTTCTTTAAACTATGTTAAAAAAAATAAAAATAAAAAAGAAGGGAAAATGCGTTATCAATTATAAATAAATACAAAAGTGTAAAAAACGCATTATTACGTGATAAATGGTATTATTCGCTCCACGGTCACATATGGCACGGTCTATTCGCGCCTGGCTGTGTTATTATGTTACTCTGACTCAACACGTGTCCGCTCTTCTCAAACTATTTATAAAGTCAGCATTTGATCGAGAACTTTAATATCAACAAATCCCATTTCAATACGAGCACATGGAATTAAAGGCGCTGTTCTGTCACCATGAGGACTTGAGCAATCGCAAGGAATGTCAAAACATCTTCTAAAAAAAAAAAGTCTTACCTCTATGTAGGGACGTATCTGTGAAGGGGAATGTACTGTTGAGTAGACGCGTATAGTTTTTCTCTTCCAACGAGCCCCGAAACTTCACACAAATTGTATAGAGCGTCCCAGCAGCAACAGGCAGCCGTGTATCCTCGGACCAAATTAACTACAAAACAACAACAATGTACTGCGCATACCACGCTCTGCTTCCGCAAGCGCTCGCGTCACCCACTCCTCGTGACCGCCCCCTCCATTCATGAAAATAACTTTGTGCTGACGTCAGTGTGGGGAGGGGAGGGGAGGGGTATGGACAGAAATAGAAGATAGATACTGCTGCTTGGCCACCGCTTCTGCTTACTTTACAAAACTAATCTGGACAAAGTCAATGCCTGTTGCCAAAATTAGACAAAAGTTGGCCACGGTGTGCAGGGAGAAGTCATGTGAAAAGTTGAGAAAGCAAAGCGGTCACCTTGCATTGGTGTATACACAGAGCCCCTCCCATATATGCACTCTCTTTTATGGTCAGGTCTCCAACACAAGAATAAGAAATGTGCATAAAGTGAGCAAAAACAGCCCCCTCCTCCTCCTTCTCCCTCTTCAGAGCTGGGAGCGGAGCAGCATTCCATTCTTGGGGAAACTATGTGGTAGTATCCAGCAGTGGCAGGATTTCTTCTATTTTAACTGAGCGGGGTAACGTCACAGGTTATTCAGGGTAATTAAACTGAAAGTGTGAATTCAGTTTTATTCAGAGATGTGTTCATTAATCGGCTGGGTGTTTGGTTACAAGCAGATGCAGCGTGTTTACACTATCAATACTGTAGTTCAAACAGAGATGAGGGAGAAGCCTCAGACAGACGCACTATTCTTTATGCTGACTGGACTGAGCTGATGAGAAGGCTGTCGGTTTATTCTGTTTTCACTTTATTACTTGATATTATTTAAGTTATATATACTGGTCATGTCTCCCTTTACAAGCTCAAAACATTCTAAACATTAGTGTTACTTCATTGGCTATGTTACGATAATTGATGTATTCTTGCAGCCCAAAGTTACACATTCAATTTGTTTTATTGTTGCATAGCCCTTACACCAGCAGTTGCCTCGGGAGGACTTTACAAAGTTGTTAATGCATCAACAGCACATAAGAAAATCACATCACTCTCAATAATGTCTAGTTGTGTAAATGGTGGCATATGCATGAGTTTGGCCAGTATAGAAAGGACTTTCAGACTTATTTTCTTTATCAAATCTTCTTTAAAAAAATGCTTCTTTCACATAGAGTTGTTTTGACACCTGCCCTCCAGTTGAAATAGAATTCTGCAACATGAACACGACCCATAATAAAAGTAAACATATATTGGTTAGTGTCTCCCATGTTAGAACTCCTGCTTCATGTCTCTTGATTTCAACTCTCAGGCTAGAATCAATGTATTTCCCCAACCATGATTGTGCGATTTGTAATAATTATGAGAACCCATTTAACATGTTTCTCTTGACACTTGTGGTAATTGTACCCTGCAAAAGATAACACAAAAATGAAGGCTTGAATTATGTGTTTATATCTTAACCTGGGCACATTTTGTCTTAAAACAACAGTTGACAATGGGACAAGAAAAAAAAGGAAAATTCAAGAAATGTCTTCTTTGGAACGTGAAATAAATTGCACTTGAAACACTTGAAATATGTCTTATATTCAAATTAAGATAAAAAAAAAAAAAACCTTGATTCAAGCATTTATTACCTTATATTTTGTAATTTTTTTGCAGTTTAAAATGATCAAAAAATCTTTAGTGTGTTTAAATATAAGTAAATTGTAGCTTGAGTTGACAACGTCCCACTTCCACTTCTGTGTAATATTCGTGGTTGCGTACGCATTCAAGAGCGTTTTGACGAAGGCCGCTTACTCATCATATTTTTTCCATGATGTGACTGGGTAATAGCCACTGGTGCCAGAGAGGAAACATGGTGCGTGGCTTCACTCTGATGACGCACATTCAACTTTCATGAAAAGAATGTGTCAAGAATTTTTTTTTGACAGTGATTTCTCTAAAGCGAATTGTAACCAGAGACGCACACCTGGGCTATTTTGAGTCACAAACGTAGATCATGCACAAAAGGACTTGCTGATAATACTTTTAATCCCTTTCTTTCCTTTTTGGTCCAGAGCCAGAATGGCATTGACGTTGCATCTGTCATGTTTGAGGTTTGTGAGTCAGTGGATCAGCTCGTCCTCCCGCTGCATGTGGAAGCCATTGTTCCCGGTGAGGATGTAAGTGGCGTTGTAGTTCATTGGCAACGGTGAAAAAAGCAGATGCCTTTTATCTAGTGACTTATTCAGATTTTTCCTTTTATCTCGTTTACCACAAGCACAAACAACTCGTTGCATCCGCTGTGCTGTTGTCCACTAACTTTTAGCTGGCAGCCAAATTAAAGCAGGTGTATCTATCTTTATAATAGGCAATGCAAGGCAAGTATATACGTATAGTACAGTTCATACACAAGGCAACTCAAAGTGAAGAACAAAAATAAAGGTAGTTATAGTCACAAATGTCATTCAAATCATAAATAATCACAGTGAAGATAGAATCCTTCAGTTGTAGGCTCAGTGAAATAGATCTGTTTTTAACCTGGATTTGAACATTGTCAGTGTAGTAGCCTGTCTCACATTTTCAAGAAGACTGTTATAGATTTTACCTGCGTGAATCTGAAATGTGAAGACAGCATTTTGTGTCTCATTTGTTCATTTTACTTTTAGTCTTTTTGTATTGGCACTAACAAAATACATTATTCATGTTCAAAAGGTAGCATCTTCCAGAGAAGTTAATCCCCCCCCCCCCGACCCATAAATTGACAAAGCGGAAGAAAATGGATGTGGACTAAGATTACAGATTTTTGGAGGAATCTTTTTCATACAAAATTATCTAATGTCCATATTTAAGCATTATAAGTTGAGTTTTTAGATGCATTCTTGATATTGCCTTTCCCCAAACTCACTTTCTATTGTTGACCGTATACGATTTTCCATAGCACAGACTTTTATTCCCCTTGCATCTCATTACAGCCAAGGGGCAAACGTCATCTAAGGCCCACAGTTACCAGTGCAGCCATTTATAGCTCCAGTATGCCGACTATGCACATACATAGGGCCTAACAAACCACCAGGGGTTCAAAAGGCTAAAGATCAAGATGAGAAGACTTTTTAAAAATTCAGAACTCTTCCCTTAGTGCACACAAAGTAAGTGTATAGTGTTTGGAGTAGACTGCATGCACGTCTGGGAATTTGTTGATGTCCCAGTGGAGGATGGGGACCGAATTCTGATGGAATATTCACAGAAATAGCAAAACAATAAGATAAAAATTAAAAGTAAAACAGTCAATACTGATGATGAAGAACTGTTTTAATTTGTGGTTGCTTTGCCCCATAGACTTGCTCCATAATAATCTGCTGACTGTGATGGCTCCCAGCTGACTATTCCAACTTTGACACCACTTTCTGGTTCAATTGTGGACTCAAAAGAACTATTCCAGCACACTGTCTTACTGGCATAATACTGGCAAAATAAAAAAGAATTGGATTGGAAATGTGTTCTATTGTGGAAAAAATAAATGGATAAATAAAACGTCGTATTCACTGCTGACTGGACAGCGATTTGTCTTTCCTCCACAGTTTAATCTATTACTCATGACCCATAATACGGTTTTGATATTTGCTGAGCAGTAATTTTAGTTTTGTCAAGTTCACATACTGTAATAATGAAAATATTATCATTATTAAAGAAAAATCTTTCCCAACTAATTTGTTATTTTTCGAGACAGACTGGCCATCCTTGACCGCCAGCCCTTTTTGATGATTTCATGGATTTTCAAGACTCACAGAACATTGTGTGAAATATGATTTGAGCCTGAAGGTCGTGGGTTCGAGCCCACCACAAGAACTTCTCCACCGACTCCCACTGATGTCTGCTGCTGTTGTGTCTTTGGGCAAGACACTTAACCCCACTTTCCCTGAAGCCGCTGCTTTAAGATCAAAGTGAGGGTGGTAGCTCTGATTGCACCCCCCCAACCCAGAAATGGACTAAGGGGAAGAAGATGGATGGGCAACCATGTTATACAAAGAAAAGTTGAGTCATCTTTTGGTTTGAGTGTTGAATGTTTAAATTGTATTCCATTTGAATATTCTTCTTGTCACCCTTCATCATACACAGCTCGTCCACATGCTGCTGTTTATGTGCTTTGTTAACTGTAGACTGTGCTGTTTGCGTTCAATCCAAATGATATATATTTGTTGCCATAATGGGAGATGACAGTATGTTATATCATACAAAAGGTTTCATTGAGATAGTTTCTTCCAATAATGAGTTTCAAATGATCAGAGCCTATTCACAGAGAAACCTGGAGAAATATACCATGTTTTGAATTAGTGAAGATGGCGTCAGCATCCATCTGCGGAGCACAGCATGATGCACCTGAGAGCTGCACAAACAGGAGACATGTGCTGGAGCGGTGGCCTCAGATCATCTGTCTGTGGGGTCTGTGCAGCTTAAACGTGGGTTAGGTTTCAGGAAGTAGCATTGACTCACTAATCTGGCTTGTTTCTGAGTCAGACTACTGAACTCCGAAATGTGATCTGCTCCTGGGGGCCCATGTTGCAGCAGCTCATCCATTTTTCTACTGAGATCTGTTACAAGTATTGTGAACTGTGGAAGAAAGTGCAGAAACTGCCTTATTGCACACCTTTATTAGGCTGTTACACGTTATGATGGATGTTGTTTTGATTTTCATTCAATCTTAAAATAAGATAGGATAAACCTATATTTGTCCCACGGTGGGGAAATTTCAATGTTGTGGTTGTGCACATAAAATGAGGAATAAAAGGAGGAAATAAGAGCACTCAGGTTCCACTCATCAAACAGGATCTGTTATTTAAGACAATTGATAATAAAAGAAAAAGCTTCCTCATATATTTGGTTAATCTCTGTGATGTCATCCTTGTGCTTGTTCACGTTTTCAAAGGTCATAATTTGCACTAATGACAACATTTCAGCTCATGTTCTTGCTCTTTTTAATTCAAAGCAAATATATTGTTTATTTCTGTGGGCAACTGTAAAAGTGCAAGTAGATGCCTGAAAGGAACAGTTGTCATACATTGTTATCTGTTGGTTTTTGTTTTGACTTATTTACCTCAGGCTGTAACAAGGCTGATGTCAGCCACAGAATCCCTAAACTAATAAGGAAAAAGCTAAGAGGAAAATCTTCTGTTCAGCCTACAGATGTTTTGACATTGTTTAAGAATAGAAAACACATCCTCTTGTGGCCTCAGTGTCTGGATCTAATCTGAAATGTTAAAGCATGTTCAGTTTGGAAATCTCTAGATTTCCCATATGAGACAAGATTTAATTTAGAACATTACTGAATATTGCAGTGACTTCATCAAAATGTGTTTCTCATGAAAACACTTTACGTAACGGCTTGGATCAGTGATCTTAATGGTAGTGGCAGGCAGCAGCTTTTTTCTTTTTTCTGTGATGCACTTTGTCCAACTTGAGTAGTTGTTTTTAATTATGCTGAATGAATACATTTGATTTGGATTAAATATGGAGAAAAATATTCAAAAGATTTTTTAGACCTTAAAATAGTGTTCAATTGTATGTATACAAACATACTATTTTTTTTTAGGGCAAGATACAGTTATAAGACTGAAAGAATATTCCTTTGCACTGTTGGACATAGTCTCCGTAGCAGTAAACTTAGAATAGAGCTTCACAAAACAAAACAAAAAGTTGTTAAATAAAACAACAATAAAAGTTAACAAACCAAAAGACTACTGTATAAATAACATGTACCTAATCAAGAAACTGATAATGTATTTAGATTGCTATTGGCCTATATTAGGCACCACAGGTCTCTGATTACGATCTTTGATTACTGATCATATGCATATTGTATAAACATAACAAACACTGACAGAACATTTCCATTTACTCAAACAACAAGCACTTTATTATTCATTTATTAACACCAAACAGCGAGATCTGGTGGTCAGAGTGGGATTCAGCAGTATTTAAAGTCTATGTTCAGCAGCAACATGACAACACGGGCCTATTTCTGATCTTGGTGGAAGAAGTGTTCTTCTGCCATCTGCTGGTCAAATACAAAAGTATAACGCAAGGTAAACTGCACGTCTATAAAAACAAAAGTTCCTTCATTATAGCTCCCATCTGGAATGTATGAAAAGCATTCTATGATGTATTTATTTAACATGGATTTTTTTGCATCTTATTAAGCAGACGCAATATTAATATGGATTATGATTTGTTGCACACCATTGTTGTCTACTTCTGTTCAGGGGAAAGATATGTAAATCAAAAGTTTCTAAATCTGGTACAAATAATCTTTTGATAATTTCTATATTCCATGTAACTAAATTTACGCTGTTAAATGTTAATGCTGTTCTACCTCTATGCAGAGAGGGGGCGACAGAGCTGCACCTGCGTCACATTTGTTCGTAGAATAAGTGCCCTTCTTGAGACATGAAAGATTTATCTAACTAAATATGATAAATATACTTTATTTACGCTCAAAGGAATAACACAAACACCTAAAAGCAGAAGCACATGTGAGTAAATTACTTTGACTATTTAAAAGCGGCTCCTCGGCTTATTTTAAACACAGTAGTAGCTCTGTTGTTAGAGCTATAATGCTAAAGTACATAGCATCTGGTTAGCCGGTGTTGTTAGCATAGTTAGCATAGTTAGCACAGACGTGTAACATTATGTGCAGTGTTCATTCATAAACAATTATACTATTGCTGCATATACGGGGCTACTGTCCGCTGCACAGTATGTGTTGTTATTGTCAGTCACTATTTAAAGTTTAAAAAAAAAAATATATATATATATATATAACTATATGCTTATTATACGCCATCACATCACCTCTGCGCCTCTTCTCATAGATCCTTAACAAAATCAAAATGAATCGCCCAAAACCAGCAAACATCAGGCGACCGAATGCTGCAAAGTCTTCAGGTAAGACGTGTCTCCTACTCAAAGAGAAAATCGCTTTTATTTGTGTTGTTATTATGTAGTAATAGCTGTTTTAGTCAATTGAAAAAATATTTCCACCTTTTACCTAATATTACATCAATGATACTTTGTCTAGTATTCAGTGTTGGGCAAGTTACTTAAAAAACGTAATATTATGCATTACTTATTTCTGTTATCTCAAAATAATTACACTACAATATAACTTTCTCTGCATTGTAATGCATTACTCTACTCCTGCATCACTTTTAAGTTACTCTCTGCAGAAATATATAGTATTTATTTTCCTTTAACATGAATTTGGACTTAAACATCTGAATTTGCATAATTCTTCTAAACATGGTTTAATTATTATTTCTTTTTTTGAACAATGACTGATTTCACTCACTATTTGGGATAATCAAAAACTGTGGTTGTCATAAGTTACAAGTGGTAACTGCCCACCATTAAATATAATTTGAAATATGAATTAGAAATATAGTAACATCATGAATCGATAGAAAGATATACTATATTGATCACCTATAAGGATCAATAAAGTATGAATTAACAAGAGCAATCTAAATTTTTAAAGATATAACAATAACTTTTATCCCTTCTGTTCTGGTACAATGTTTTCTGGATCTTAGGTCACGCCCCTCCTGGAGATTTCATAGCTCTCGGCTCCAAGTCTCAGACAGGAGAGCCCAAAGCCCCTGCGGTGCTTCTGAAACCAGCAGCTGCCGGTTTACCTGCTGACCGCAAGAGGGAGCCCGCCTCTGCTCTGCCCTCCTCGTCTGGCCTGTCCAGTCTCACCAAACGGCCCAAACTCTCCACCACCCCTCCGGTCAGTGCCCTGGCACGTTTGGCTGATGTAGCTGCTGTGGACAAGAGGTCAATATCTCCCTCCATCAAAGAACCATCTGTTATTCCCATTGAAGGTTGGTTATAAACGTTTAGCTTAATTCTTTTTCATGTTGTTGCATTATCTTGTCTAAGATTTCTCTCTGTTATAGTTTCCCCTTCGCTGCTGCTGGATGAGATTGAAGCAGCAGAGTCTGAGGGAAATGACGACCGCATCGAAGGCCTGTTGTGTGGAGCTGTTAAGCAACTGAAGATGAACAGAGCCAAACCAGATATCACTCTGTATCTGAGCCTGATGTTCCTTGCTAAAATCAAACCCAATGTATTTGCTACTCAAGGAATTATTGAGGTATGTTTTTCAACAACTAAATGCTTTATTTATTCTTTATTTTCTGCTTCAAAATGTTTGCAATAAATTGTACTTGTCTCCAGGCTTTATGCAGTCTTTTGCGCCGTGACGCTTCTATCAACTTCAAAGCAAAAGGAAACAGTCTTGTGTCTGTACTGGCTTGCAATCTGCTCATGGCCGCTTATGAAGAAGACGAGAACTGGCCTGAGATCTTTGTCAAAGTAAGCAGCTGTTGTATTTAGCAGCACTAAATAACGAATGTCCATTAATGTGCCTTACTAAAACAGACACTGACACACAGATAGTACACAATAAATTACTATCTCTTACAGTAATACATACTTCATGAATTTTACAGTGTAATACATACAGTTTATTCAAAAACTAGCAAATTGTTAAATAATAGTGCTAAATAAACTGTTGCTATTTTTAGATAGTAATGAGAAATTATGTTTTTCTATTCTCAGGTGTATATAGAGGATTCTCTTGGGGAGAGAATCTGGGTGGACAGCTCTCAGTGTAAAACGTTTGTTGACAACATACAAACTGCGTTCGGTACCAAAATCCCCCCGAAGAGCATGCTACTCCAGGCTGATACGGGCAAGACCCCTGGAGATCTCAGTGCAGGTAAAATTCAAAATGTGTATTTTACATTAATAGAAAAGTTATGTTGATACACAAGCATTCACAGCTATTTGTCTCAATATTTTGTGTGCTCTTTTTGTGCTCTTGCTACCGTCTTTCAACATAGAAATTACCCTACTCTGGGATGAATAAAGGTTATTTTATCTTATCTTCTATCAGGAAGCAGTCCCCATCCCTCTACTCCCGACGAGGATGACAGTCAGACTGAATTACTGATAGCAGAGGAGAAACTCAGCCCGGAGGATGACGGACAGGTCATGGCCAGGTATGAAAGAAAATCAATATCTGTGTTAATTAGACTTTGTTATTTTTTTACGCATAACCTGTGCTGTCTTAGGTATGAAGACATAGCAGAGGGAGTGGAGGACTACGTGCTGGATGTCCTCCGAGATCAGCTGAACCGGAGGCAGCCTATGGATAATGTGTCCCGTAACCTGCTCCGCCTTCTTACAGCCACATGTGGATACAAGGAAGCCCGGCTCATGGCTGTGCAGAGGCTGGAAATGTGGCTCCAGAATCCAAAGGTAAGATTATACTCTTAGTAAAACTGTTTAAAGCCCCTCTCTTTCAACTTAAAATGGTGCAATGGTTATGACATGATGATATACTGTAGGGGTGCGTACCATTCATTGTATGTTAAAGTTAATCTAAATGTATGTATTCAACCTGTGCTTTACAGTTAACCCGACCAGCACAGGACCTCCTTATGTCTATGTGTATGAACTGTAACACTCATGGAGCAGACGACATGGAGGTGATTTCCAATTTAATTAAGATTCGGCTTAAGCCCAAAGTTCTTCTAAACCACTACATGCTTTGTGTCAGGTGCGTACATTCCCTGCTTATTACCGCACTCTTGATCACACACATGTGAAAGTTTTTTGCTATTGTTTTTACAGGGAGCTTTTAAATGCAACCAAAGACAATTTAGGCACTATGGTCAAACTAGTGATTTTCAATGAATTGTCCAATGCCAGAAATCCCAACAACATGCAAGTACTGCACACAGTCTTACAGCACAGTCCTGAACAGGCCCCAAAGGTAACCTCATAATTAACAGTGTAAAATGTAAAACTATTAACTTTTTTTGCCTGTAACTATATTTTGTTTTTGTTCATTTTCCTGTAGTTTTTAGCCATGGTGTTCCAGGACTTGCTAACTAATAAAGATGATTACTTGCGAGCCTCTAGAGCACTGTTAAGAGAAATAATCAAACAAACCAAGCATGAGATTAACTTCCAGGCATTCTGCTTTGGTTTAATGCAAGAAAGAAAAGAAGCGACTTACTTGGACATGGAATTCAAAGTAAGTTAAAGACAGATTTAAATGAATTCACCTTGGTTTATTTATTTCCTCTTACTAACCCCATATTTCCTCACTGCTAGGAGCGCTTTGTTATCCAAGTTACAGATTTACTGACAGTGTCAATGATGCTCGGTATCACGGCTCAAGTAAAAGAAGCAGGAATTGCATGGGACAAAGGAGAGAAGAAAAGTACTGGTTTGTCTTGAAGGTGACTTTGATTAATATTACTGATTTATGATATTAACCTTGTATCGTCTGTTATCGGATAGATCTGGAGGGACTGAGGTCGTTTCAGAATCAAATTGCTGCCATTCAAAGAGATGCTGTGTGGTGGCTTCACTCTGTGGTTCCTACAATCAGCAAAGTGGGTTCAAAAGACTATATCCACTGGTCAGTACTGGTCGCCGTGTAATGCTATGTTACATCAACCAGCTTTTCAATTACCTTCACATTTCATGTCTTTTATTATGAATAGCCTCCATAAAGTGTTGTTCACCGAGCAACCTGAAACCTATTACAAGTGGGACAACTGGCCTCCTGAGAGTGACAGAAAGTAAGTATTTGCCCCAGCAGTGCTTAGTGATTAAACATTGATTTTAAGTTAATTGTGACTTTCTAGACTAAAGCTGCATTTCCACTGCACAAAAATACTGGATTTTTTACCAAAAACTGTAGCTTGCCTTTTCCTACACATTAAGAGACACAGGCTGTTGTGTCAGAATGACGCAGCATTTTACTGGCCTTGTGACCTAATTTTCTTGCAGAGGCATGTTAGGTTCAACCAAATCTATATATAGTGGATCAGGTAAAACTACACATTTGGGATGAAAATGACCCCTAAACAAGTGTGTAACAACAGTGCAGCCGTAGCACGCACTGCTCTGTCCTTTATGAAGTTCACTTGTAAAAAATGTTTGAAATGTTTTTTTATGAAAAACTTGTAGTTCATTACAATGACATTCCCTGAAGCCTTATTTTTAAAGTAAGAAGTTGGTCCAAACAATGTCCAAACAACACAGCAACTGTCTTTTCAGAGTTGAGACGTCATTTCAACACGTATTGAACCTTAAGATGGTACATGTGTTGCTGTGTCTTGCAGTTTTTTCCTTCGCCTGTGCTCTGAGGTGCCACTGCTGGAGGACACGTTGATGCGCATCCTGGTGATAGGTTTGTCCCGGGACTTACCCCTGGGTCCAGCTGATGCCATGGAGTTGGCTGATCACCTCGTAAAGAGGGCGGCTGGTGTTCAGTCTGACGGTAGGACTGGTGATTACAAATTTTGATTCTTTGTTGATTTGATAAGATAATTTCACTCACACGCACATACACTCACACACACATTTTTAGAATTGGAAGTCCATGTAAATAGTAGTCATTGTAGTCAATAGTAGTTTTTCATATTGGATACCTAGTTGATAGAAAAATAACTCCATAAAGGGGACATCTGTATACCCTTCCTACCCTTATGTTCTTATTCATTTAGTTTTAAGTGATGTCCTCAAAATGGGACCTCTAAAGAAATGCTGAAAGAATAAGTAAAAGGCAACACGGTGTAAATAGAAAATTATGTTGTATCAATATTACATTTTTTGTTTCACAATGAACCAAGAAATGAATGCTTTCTTAAACACATTATAATGTTGACCTTTGCCCTCAACCACATCTGCAGAAGCCATTTAAAAGCACTATTTAGGTTGGATATTTTTGCCACTGGCAATATATTTAGACAACTCCTAAACACAAGCTTCTTTGTTTGATGGATTCCTCTAAGTGGCATCTTTCTGTTTACATTCCGCTCAGATGAAATCACAGTAACAAAGGACACAGGAATAGATCTTATGTTTATTTTCACTGTGTAAGAGGTGCCAGCCGTTATTGTTACAGATCTGGAGGTCCTGAAAGTGGAGCGGATCCAACTCATCGACGCAGTGCTTAATCTGTGTACATACCACCACCCGGAGAACATTCAGCTGCCCTCGGGGTAACTTGTCTTCAACTGATAAACACCCTTGAATATTTATCTTGTAGTAATACATGACATATGTGTAAAGGTACCAACCTCCAAATTTGGCCATTTCCACACTTTACTGGAAGGCATGGCTCCTGCTTCTGGTCGTGGCGGCTTTCAACCCACAAAAACTAGGTAAAAACAATATACATCTTTTGAATACACTTACTATAAAATAGACACTTTGTAAATCATCTTCCTGGGAAGTGTCTGCTACAGTTGGATTGTTCCACAATCAAACTTGGGACATGGAACATTAACAATAAGATTACATAGTTTATGTTGATGCCATTTTGTGAACCCATCCAGGAAAAAGATGTTTTACCAGAACGGTTTACCATTTACCCTACAAACTATTGTTTTTTTTAATCCTCATTAGGCCTGGCTGCATGGGACGGTTATCCCACCCTGAAAATGCTTATGGAGATGGTAATGACAAAGTAAGTTTATTTGTTTATTTTACATGATAAAGAACAATTTCTTTAAAGGTGATGTCGGCAAAATCAATTGTATTTTGTTCAATCGGTAATCTGTGCGAGTGGGTCTAACTGGCGTCATGTCTTTCCAACTTCACGATTAGAAAAGTAACTGATCTTTACCAAGTGTTCCCAAACATTTCAGGCCGGGGCTCCAAAAATAGACATGAAACCAACTCATGACCCCCACTGATGTACTCCATTCTATACAGCAATAATGTGTCATTTTAGTGTTGCTAGTTAACCCTAACCCTAACCCTACCCTAACCCTTGTGCTGTTTGATCTAATATTACTATTAAAATAAAACAATACAACTATAATGTTGTGTTGCCCCCTTTTCCCCCTTTGTGTTAGAGGATGCACTTCAAGATATTTCTGATGTTTTCAGTCTGGTATTATTAAAGAGGTATTGTTTTTTACAAAAAAATATTTTTTTTTGTGTCCCTTGTGCTGTGAAGTCTGATGAAGGTATTACTTCACAGGACCATTTGCAATTAGAAAGAAGCTGCAGCATCTGGAGGGTAGAAATATCATAAAATATACATACAATTATATTTAGTTTATCCATGATCCAGACAAAAAACCTGGAGCTGTTTTTTGTGAATAATTGTCTTTTTTAATGTAAGACATTACTACATTGATTCCTATGAAAAACTGTTTTGTTCCCTGGAGTTTGTTATATCTGATTTTACAAAAAGTAATAACTTAATAACCAGCCCAATGCTTTTTGAAAATGTATATTATTTCCTTTTACTTTCTCAGTAACTACACCTACCCGCCGTGCACTGTGGCCGACGAGGAGACAAAGACCGATATGATCAACAGAGAGCTGCAGATCTCTCAGAGGGAGAAACAGGACATTTTGGCTTTTGAGAGTCATCTGGCTGCAGCCTCCACCAAACAGACCATCACAGAGAACAACAGCCTGCTCCTGTCACAGCTGACGAGCCTGGACCCACAGTACGACTCACCTCCATAGTGTAGTGTTCATTATGTTGTGACTTGAATGACCTGATGTCCGTCTGTGCCCAGGGGTCCTCCGCGAAGACCCCCGCCTCAGGTGCAGGAGCAGGTCAAGACCCTAAACCAGTCGCTTCGTCTCGGGCATCTCTTGTGTCGCAGCCGCAGCCCAGACTTCCTCCTGAACATCATCCAGAGACAGGTAACTTATTCAAATGGGGAATTGTGATGCTTTACTCATATCTGTGTGTTTGAAGTATTGACAAAGTGACGAGCGCTGTTCAAAGCAACATTTTAATGAAAATAAACTTCTCTTTGAATGGATGAATATTTAATTTTCTGATTTTTGGCCAATACACATTCATGTGAAAATTGAAAACCAGTGATGGCACCAAACTGTTTTGAGAGCAAGGAAATATTTTGATGGATCTTTTTCTAGTTCCATTTTCCTGGTTTGAAAGCTGAGTATCCCTGTTGTTCAGTCCTTATGGAGTTTCTCTCTTGTTAACATATTTAAAGTTAAATATATTATTATTTCCTTTATTCTGGACAAAAGTGTTGCCATAGTGATTTTGTTTGCTGTGGTTTGTGTTGATCCTACAACTTAACTTTCTGTTTCTCGATGGACATGAATGGGGCTCAGTAATAATAATCTATAATCATGATCAATGATATAATAATGAATCAAAAGTCAGTGGGGCATAATGAGGCTATTTTGATAAACATGATCTATGTTAAATGTGTTAAAGTATGTTAAACTACATACTCAATTTAATGCCTTTCTAATGGTATGAATGTGTTGAAATGACCGCAGGCCTCGTCTCAGTCCATGCCGTGGTTGGCAGACTTGGTTCAGTCCAGTGAAGGTTCGCTGGACGTGCTCCCGGTGCAGTGTTTGTGCGAGTTCCTCCTTCACGATGCCGCAGACGACACTCTGATGGCAGACGATGACGACGAGGGAGAAAGCAAAGAGCAGAAGGCCAAGAAGAGACAAGTAAGTCAACTGTACACACTATTCAAATTTTAATTACGTTTTATATGGGTTTTTTGGTATGCTAATTTGTTAATCGTGTTTACCTCTTTTTGCAGTTGTGTGTAAAATAGAATCAAGTGAGTCATTACTAATCCCACATTTTTAATTTGCTGCTAGAGGCAACAAAAGCAGAGGCAGTTATTGGGACGGCTGCAGGATCTGCTTTTGGGGCCCAAGGCTGATGAACAGACAACATGTGAAGTGCTGGACTATTTCCTGCGGCGTCTCAGCTCCTCGCAGGTCGCTTCACGAGTGCTTGCTATGAAGGTACATACATACTATACAGTAAAAAAACATCTGTTATTGATCCTTCAATTTGATTGATTGGTATTGTTTTTATAAATCACTATAAACCAATTAATATTATTTTTCACATTGCAGAAATCAAATGAGCGCTTTCACACCGGTGGTTTACATGTGAAATTTCTTGATTTATTGCTGCAAAGTCCAAACTGAGCACTAAAAAAATTCTTTTTACTGCCATACGTTGGGTTGTAGATTTATTGTAATTCAGACCATTTGTTCATGATTACCATAAATCTTATGGGTTAACATTGATTTGTAGTTCACAGTTTGCAATTAGACTATTGTTCTCATAATCTATACTCTAGAGTTATCAATAACAAGGTGTGTATGGCCGGTCACCATGGAATCTCAAGGCAATAAAACCATTCACAACAGTAGGGCAGGTGCTCACAACCGCACTCTACTAACATCACTCAACACAATCCTACTGGCCAAAATGCACTATATCTGCCTACCTGCAAAAATACAACAAATTCAACTCTAACTAACACGGCTGACAGAAAATAATTAATCAAGAAGGTCAAAACAATTGCATTTGGCAATACAAATGCCAATGTTGCTGCCTCATCTGGTCTAAATGTAAATCACCTTTTTCTATTCTTACATATTTTTAGGGACTGTCGTTGGTGCTGAGTGAGGGCGCTCTAAAGGACGGAGAGGAGCGGGACCAGCCCATGGAGGAAGACTCCACAGATGCTGAGCTCCTACCCTCTTACCAATGGCTGCTCCAGGATTTGCCCAAACTCCCTCTGTTTGACACAGTCAGAGGCATGACATCCACTGCCCTTCAACAGGTCAGACCCTGTCACCACATTTTAGTTTGCATTCCTGTCAATAATAACAACATATTTACTTCCTTAGGCAATTCACATGGAGACAGACCCACAGACGATCAGTGCTTATCTGATCTATCTGTCGCAGCATGCACCTATTGAAGAGCAATCTGCGCATAATGATTTAGCCCTGGTAAATATAAAGTTTTGAATCATTTATGTTGACGTTTTGAGTTTAATAATGGCATTCTTTGCTCATTTTTGTTTATACAGCTTTTTATACTTGCTCCTTATGTTTAAATCAGGGGTTGCTGTGTGCTCCTCATTCCTACTGTTCTATGACATATGATGCAACACTGAAATCTCCCCGCTGTGGGACAAATAAAGAATCTCTTCATCTTAATCTTAATTTCTGTCCAGGATGTGGCTCGTCTGATCGTTGAGCGTTCGACCATCATGAACAGCCTCTTCTGCAGACACTCCTGCCGACCAGAGTCCGACGCTGTGCTAAACGCTTTTCTCACCATCTTCTCCACCTACATCAAGAGGATGAGAAAAACCAAGGAGGGGGAAGATCTGTACAGCTGGGTGAGTGTCCAGATCTCCCCCAGCCTTTTTACTTTATTGCTTAGATTCTATATATTTGCCCTAACACATTGTTTCTGCTTGGAACTGCTTTTTATCACTTCTCAGTCGGAGTCTCAGGACCAGGTGTTTTTGCGCTGGACGACAGGAGAGACGGCCACGATGCACATTCTGGTGGTTCATGCCATGGTCATCCTGCTGACTCTGGGACCATCCAAAGGTATTTGTTGGATTCAGATTAAAATCCCATTTGACTATTGTTTATATAATTGTATCAAATCTGTAGTTTAAAATGCTAAATTCCGTTTTGTCTTTCCTCAGGAGAGAGTGATTTCTATCCTCTTCTGGACATCTGGTTTCCGGACAAAAAGCCTTTGCCCACAGCATTCCTGGTGGACACTTCTGAGGAGGCCCTGCTGCTTCCTGATTGGTTAAAACTGAGAATGATACGCTCAGAGGTCTCTCGACTTGTAGATGCAGGTAATCATCATTTTAAAGTTGTTACTCCACAGTAAAATTGTAACATAAATGTAACCTTTCCACTTGTTTTAGCTCTACAGGACTTGGAGCCTCAGCAGCTGCTGCTGTTTGTCCAGTCCTTTGGGATCCCAGTGTCCAGTATGAGCAAACTGCTGCAGTACCTTGACCAGGCTGTATCTCACGACCCACAGAGTCTAGAGCAAAACATCATGGACAAACGTGAGGCTCTGCTCTTTAATCCTTTTGTACTTAAATATGTTTAGTACATTTAATTTGTTGTCGTAGACTACATGGCCCACCTGGTGGAGGTGCAACACGAGCGAGGTGCCACTGGGGGGCACACTTTCCATTCGTTACTGAGCTCCGCTCTGCCTCCAAACAGAGGTGGGTGTTTTTATTTATCTGTGAATCACATAAGAATATAGGCAGCTTCTTATAAAGTGTTTTCTGATAGATTCTTCTGAAGCGAGTAAAGCCAAAGTGACGGTAGAACAAGCCCCCAGCTCCATGAAGACGAGAGCTGCCCCTCAGCTCAACATCAGCCCTGAGGATGATCTCACTGGGATTTTGCTTCAGGTAAAGATCAGTGAGTTAGTGATGATACAATGAAAACAAAATAATACAAATAAAGCAACCAGAAGTTTTGTTGTTGCAGATCTTCCCGTTGAAGGTGGACCCTCGCTGGCACGGCCCCCCTCCCGCTCAGCTCTCTCTGTCTCTGCAGCAGGCTCTGGCCAAAGAGCTGATGAGGGCCAAGAAGAGTCAGGTCCAACAGGGAGGCCTGGCCTTCCGCCTCCTGCAGGCCATCGCAGCTCTGCTCTCCTCAGCACATGCAGGCCCAATAGTTCTGTCCATGCACCGCAGCCACGCCCTCTCCTGTCCACTGATGCGCCAATTGCACCTCTATCAGGTATGACGACTTAAGCAAGTATTTGGAAAAAACTCTTATTAATCATTGTGTCCTTCAGCGCCTTGTGTCCCAGGACGTAGCCTTTTCCTCCCTCTTCCTCAAAGTCATTGTTGAGATGTTAATCTGGATGGATAATCCCACTGTGGAGCCTGGGCCTCTCAAGTCTCTGCTCAAAACTTTTGCTGGACAGAACTCTCACAAGCACATGCACAGTGATGGTCAGTACCAATGAATACATAATGAGAATATCTAGCACAGGTGTCCATGTGATTTTCTTGTTTCAGTTCGAACTGGCTTCCTACATCTGGCGGAGGCGTTGGCTTATCAAAGAGAAACTGAAGTCCCTGTCAGGGCTCTCATTGCGATGCTGAAGTCTGGAGAGAGATGTAATGCCGAGTCTGAACTTGTTGGAAAAGGTATTATTAATTAACAAACAACACACATAAAACATAAACAAAAAATCACTGTATCTATTCTATTCCTTTTATACTTTGAGACATTATATGGGTGAGTTGGCGGTATTCCATCATTAACGTAGACCCTGTCAAAAACATCCACAGTAGAGCATATTTAAATGTATTCAGATAATTCTAATCATATCTTTCAGACACCAGAGCTATATTTACTTTCACTGTAAACAACAACATGCTACATGCTTGCAGCACACAGAAGTTCATTTTATCTTTATATTCTGGAGCTTTTTCACAGCATATTATTTTTCTCAAACATGATTTAATTTGTGCAATATTTCAGAGATTATGAATGATAAGACAAACACTCTTTCTCTCATTGTTTGTGGTTGTGTAAAGCCTTTTATTGTCAAATAATATGTTCGATTTTCAAATTATGATGACAACAGCACTCTTCAAATTACCATGTTTTTAGCTTCTCCCCAGTTCTCAATAGCATTTATTGCCCCTTTAACATCAATCAGCTTGGAGTCTTTTGTAGTAGTTGTGGATGAGGTTCTTTATGATCTCTGATGGGAGGATAAAGAGGACAAGTGCTGCCCATTCTTCTTGGGAAAAGCCTAGTAAATTCCTGGGCCGTCTTGCGTGAACTGCACATTTGAGATCTTCACAGAGCGCCTCAAAGATTTTATAATTTAACTATGGAACACATTACCATACCTGAACATTAAAAAAAGTGTTAGATATTGCCAAAACAATAAATCTCTTCGTGTTATCTTTACCAGAGTGTTTTGCTCCCATGTCTCAGTGCTAAAGGGCCTGATGGAGGGGAAGTCGCCGTACCTCGAGGAGCTCCTCTCCCTGCTGATGGCCACCAGCACTCGGGGGGGCACCGAGGGGCCCGTTGCCATGGTGATCTCCTTGTTGCTTCAGGAAAGTGAGGAGCGAGCCGTGAAAAAGGAGCCCGACTCCAACAAGTGAGCGTCGCAATTCTATTTCCCTCTCAACTCATGCACGGCGCGGTTTTTATTTGACACAACTAAATGACAAACATGGCTGCCTGTGACAAAAATAACAAAACGCTGCTTCATGTCGCCCGCCTTGTACTGCGATTGGATTTGCTTCAGAAAGGTTTAATTGGTTTTCGGAGTTTTGCCTCGGCTTCTCAGATTGGTTTGCTGTGAAAATCAATGGCTTTTTCTTACCGGTTTTGAATTTACTGCGATTCTGCGGCCCTGGTATTCATCTTGTAAAAGTTATAAAGGGTACAGCTGTGGAGGAAATCAACGGAGTGATTTAACATACAGGTTTGAACAAAGTTTTCTCCACTGTAACAATGGACGGACCTGCAAACATTTTTTTGCCACAATGGATTTTAGATGGACCTTGAGTCTGGAATAAAGATGTATTATTATTATTATTATTATTGTTATTACTATTGAATTTGAAGCATTTACTGTATGGACATAGGATTTTAATATTGCTTACTTGTCTTTGTATGAAGTTGTGAGATTATAAAGGCGGGTCTGAACTCCGGGCTGCTGGTGGACTGGCTCGAGCATCTGGACCCTGAAGTGACCTCCGTTTGCCCGGATCTTCAACAGAAGCTGCTGTTTTCTCTCAACAAGGTGAATTTCCATAATGAAGACAAATTTTGTTTTACCCTACCGAAGACCGATTTTATCACAATCAGTCTAACAGGAGATTTTGTGAAGATGAGGCATGGAATCTGTGGTTGAAATGTGTAACAAATGACTGCAAAGGCCAAATGTTTAGGACTGTTAATTTTGTTTGTTTTTTTCCCTTACAACAATAATACTGAATTGTATTTTTTAAGTATTACTAATCAAACATCTAAATCTAGTCTCTACATTTTTTTTCTCAAGTTAAGCTTTTTTTGGCCAACTATTCTTTTCTTTTACAATATTGTTTTATTATTACTATTCAAAATGTATAAATAAGACTTCTATTCAACGGATTTAAACAACAAAATAATTGATTATCAAAAAAATCATTAGTTACTCCCATTAGCTATTCCCATCTTGAGTATAAGACACATATAAGTATCCAGGTTTTGTATTCGGATTCAAACTCATTGTTCTTTCCCCCCCAAAGGCCCGAGGCACTCCCGCCTACAGACCCTATCTCTTGGCCCTGCTCACTCATCAGTCCAACTGGTGTACCCTCCTCCAGTGCATCAGCTCTCTCCTGGGCAAGCAGCGGGACCACAAGTACACGCCTTTTTAAACCCTTTCCCAGCTATTGTCTTAAGTCATAAAGTAGATTAACGTAATTCCTAATGCATAATTCAGTATTAATTTTTCCTGGTTTAATGAGATTTCAGATTAAGATAATGTATTTATGGGGGATTATATTAATATTTAATCATTTCTTTTTTAGACTGGACCCATCTTCAGCTCTGGATTTTCTCTGGGCTTGCAGTCACATCCCACGTATCTGGCAAGGCCGTGACCAGAAGATCCCAGAAGTACACTTGACTCTTGATGAAAAGTGAATCTCAAATGGCTGAAAATGTTTCTGCCTAATTTGTGGTGTTTTTGTTGATGTTTCTGCAGAAGAAAACAGAGAATTTTGTGCTGCAGTTGAGTGCGGATGAGCTTATCAGTCTGGTGGAGTTGATCCTGGCTGAGTCCAAGTTGAGCGCTCACAGTCTTAACAATGATTTGGCTTCGGTGACGCAGAGCTCCAACTCCCTGCTGCAGTCGCGTCTGCCGCTGCTGCACTCCTACTGTAACGGAGACCTGGACAACATCAAACAAGTGTCCGAGTACCTCATCAGCTGCACCAAGAAACAAGAGGACAGGTGCTTGTGCTTGTGTTGCCTCTGTGAATGTTAGTCTACTTGTTAGCCACAATCAAACGTACATTATTCACCGATTATTGATGTCAGAGGTTTGTTTTAGCCCCTTATTGTTCTTTCTAATTAGCACAAATGTGGGCTACATATACAGTGCACTGATAAATGTGCACTAAATCACTGCAGAGATGCTTGTGAGCGCAGATGAACTTTTCCGACTCCTCTGTCAGCCACAATGCCGTGGACCAGGGAGAACTTGATAATTAGGTCTATTGGTGTGAAATTAAAAGCAGCCGAAGTGGTCTTTGCTGTGATCTCTTTAAAAGCTCAGTGTATTATAATGAATCCGAGCGGATTAGGCGGAGGCTCTAAACTTGCCTGTGTTGTGAATTCCTACTCTGACTTAGCTGTCAGAGATCAGGGTGCAACTCTTTGTGGAGGCAAACTCTGCTTTCATGAATATGTCTCTCGTTATTAAACCGCTTTAATGAGGAAACTTTGGCCAAGGTCAAGCAAAATTAGCTTCTGCATTACTGTATTTTAAGTACAGCTAAGCTTTCTGGTAGAATGGTTGCTAGTGGAAATGTAACAGGATAAAAAAACATTTTTGAAAGTAAAGGCTTTTGGCCTTGTGGTGAATAAACATAGTCATGGCTTTCTTCGTGGCTAAAGCCTGTCAGATAAGCTGGTGTTTACACCAATTACACAGTATCAATTTAAAGGCAACTCTTCGCTCTCAATCAAGGTCACTCCGATTTAAAGCACAACTGTAATAACTCCTCAGTTTGTATTATTCTCTAAGAGGATTTTAGTGATGAGTTGAAGGCTTTTTGATACAAATTCCCAGACTCAGCAGTGAGTTCACTTATGATATAGTGTGTATATTACGTGTTTTTCTTTATTGTTTTCTGATGATGTGCTTGTCCAACAGTGAAATGAACCAGCGATGCCAGAACTTGTTGCTGCAGATTTACCTGCACTTCCCTGAGGTGATCCAGCACGTGAGTCTTCCCGAGGGCACCTTCAGCAGCGCAGGAGCGGCTGACGGCAGCAGCTGCAAAGTACTTCACCATCCTCTTGTGATTATGTGATTACACTTTGATCAACAGCAGCTTTTAAAATGTGGCTTTTTCTCAGCTCGATGTCTTGGTCCATCGTCTGGTGACTCTGCTCGCCGACATAGGAGACTCAAAATCTGCAGAGGGCCGTGTTTCAGACGCTAATCTTGCTTGTAGGAAAATGGCAGTATCACACCCGGTCCTTTTGCTCAGGTAAAGTCACGTGATCTGTACTATAAGAGTTAGAATGATAATTATTTTTCAGTTTGATAAGACATGTTTTCTTCCTTCTTTCAGACACCTGCCAATGATCGCTGGTTTGTTACACGGCCGCATCCACTTAAACATACACGAGTTCCGGCAGCAGAACCACATGACGTTCTTCAGTAACGTCCTGGCCATCCTGGAGCTCCTGCAGCCTCTGGTTTTCCACAGTGGCCACCAGAGGGCGCTGCAGGACTGTCTCCTGTCTTTCATGAAGGTTCTCCAAGTGGGTTTTTTCACAGGAGCTTTTAATTGTACTCTAAGTCAATCATTTAATTAACATTATCTATTTTTTTTTTTTTTTACAGAACTTCCAGCGTTCGCGTTTACCACTCGTCTTTATCAACAAGTTTCTTCAGTTCACTCAAAAATACATTACCCATGATGCCACAGCAGCTATTCCTTATTTACAGAAACACTCAAGTATTCTGCAGTAAGTTTCTTAAGCATTTTTAATATCTAAATCCTTGTGTATTGCTATAAATATTAAATATAAAAATAAATATCAATATCAAATATTAGTAACCGGCATAATATTATTATTTTTGTAATTTATTTAAGGGGCTTTTCATGTAATTCTTTATAGCGAATTACTGCTTTCGCCTGCTGTTTATTTTATGCAGGCCAAGCGTTTTAATGATATGCACTGTAAAAAATGGTACATGTTGGTCATTGGCATAAAATAGTTTAAATGTTATTGTTTTGCTTTATGTTTATTTTAACATAATGTTTCTATATGCTGGTCTCCATGGAGATAAATAAAGTGTAAACAAAAGCATCTTTAGGGGACAGGAACGTTGAGAAGTGTATAGCCAAGATATCTCTGGGCTCTCAAAAAGTATTAAACCTTGATACATACGTTTTTTAAGATAAGAATTCCTTTATTCGTCCCACAGTGGGGAAATTTTGCTAAACTTAATACCAGTAAAAAGTATTTTTACACTTTATAAGTTTATAGGATTGCGTGATAATGACTACACACAAGTGTCTCCTTGCTAAACAAACTTCTGCTGAACAAAAATGTCTCATGACAGTTCATGTCTTGTTGTTTTAGCTACGAAATGTATCTACATTGCAGTGTCGTCCAATTATTAGGTTTGCTTATTTTGCTTGTCAACTTCAGTGCTAGTTTTTATGTCTTTGACAATCTATTCAAATGTATTCCATCGACTCCAGGTTTTCTTTAATGCAGTTGACTAAATATTGTTTTGATAAAATAGTTATTTTCCAAATACATTTCTCATGGCTTATATTAATTTATTTTCCCAGAAGTTTAAGTGCAGAAAACCCCGACCTGCAGCAGCTGAAGTCTCTGTTAGCCGGTCTCACGTTACCAGTGAAGAGCTCTTCTTCTGAGGTCTCAGCCGTGGATCACAACGGTGAGAACAAATCAATCAATCAATCAATCAACGTTTATTTGTAGAGCGCCTTTCCTACACAAGGCAACGCAAAGCGCTTCACATCCCCTATCACATCATGCATAAATCAAACACATTAAGAGCACAAGATATATTAAAAACATTAAAAATAAAATCACAAAAATTAAAAACCTTTAAACATTAAAATCACAGATGGGACTAAAATCATAAATAGTCACAGTGCATTAAAAAGATTAAAGATGAAAACAAAGATGAAAAGATAAAATCATTCAGTTGTATATGCGCAGCTAAACAGAATTGTTTTGAGCCTAGATTTAAAAGATGCCAGAGTAGACGCCTGTCTCACATTCTCAGGAAGACGGTTCCAGACTCTAGCCGCATGAATCTGAAATGCAGTTTGCCCATGTCTAGTACCGACTCTGGGCACTAACAGGAGTCCAGTCCCTGTGCTCCTCAGAGTCCGGGTCGGTTCATATGGCACAAACATGTCGTGGATGTACCTTGGCGCGAGACCATGGAGAGACTTGTACACAAGTAAAGCTGCTTTGAAGTCTATTCTCTGAGGAACAGGAAGCCAGTGCAGAGACCTGAGAACTGGACTAATGTGGTCGCACTTCCTAGTTCTGGTCAGGACTCGAGCTGCTGCATGTTGAATGTACTGCAGCTGTTTTACAGCCTGTTTGGACAGACCTGTGAGCAGGCCATTGCAATAGTCTAACCGACTGGAGACAAAAGCGTGTATAAGAGTCTCCAAGTCTGCCTTAGACACTATGTTTTTAATTTTAGCAATGTTTTTTAGGTGGTAATAAGCTGCTGATGTTACAGATTTTATGTGGCTTTTGAAATTTAAGTCTGAGTCCATTATCACTCCTAGATTTCTGACCTGATTTGAGGGTTGTAGAGAGAGAGCCTGGAGGTGACAAATAACGCTCTCTCTTTGTTTCTGGGGTCCGAAAACAATTATTTCAGTTTTGTTGGTGTTTAGTTGGAGAAAGTTATTTTGCATCCAATCACCGATTTGCTGGACACAGTGAAGGAGCGAGTCCACTGGTTCATGCTCTCCTGCTGTCAGGGACACATAGACCTGAGTATCGTCAGCGTAATTGTGATAAGAGACATTATTACTGTGAATCAACTGACCTAGAGGCAACATGTAAATATTAAACAGAAGAGGACCCAGGATTGACCCCTGTGGCACTCCGCAGGTCAGGGCCAAGTGGTCTGAGGTACAGTTTTCGATCTCCACAAAAAACTTTCTGTCTTGTAAATAGGACCTAAACCAGCTTAGGGCGGTGCCAGCAACACCAACCCAGTCCTCAAGTCTCTGAATGAGGATGCCATGATCAATAGTGTCAAAAGCAGCACTTAAATCTAACAGAAAAAGGACTGAGACTTTTCCTGCGTCAGTGTTTAGTTTGATGTCATTTGTTACCTTTATTAGCGCGGTCTCAGTGCTGTGGTGGGGTCTAAACAAACTGTCATTTAAACACATGTATCGTGACATTATTACTTTTTTAAACATATATTATTATCCACAGATGAAGTGGCAGCTGGCTCGTTGCCCTTAGTGAACATTTCTGCTGCTGTGTCGATAAGTCAAGCGGATTTGACAAGATACATGAAGAAAATGTCAAGAGGAGAAGCAGTAGAAGGTAACAGCGTTAGCACAATCCTGCAACAATTCAACTTTACACATTTCTGCAGTTTTACTTTAACAGCTTTCATTGCATATTTGTTAGGTCATTGTTTTACCACCAGTGCGCTTTACGAATGAAGACGACTTACTTACCTCTATTTTAGGTTTCTAGTTGGGCTGAAATTGAAATAGTCTTCATGTTTTTGTGTTAAATGTTATATCTTTAAAACGAGCCGATGGCTCAGTTTGGCGGCCTCAATTTTTATCAGTCTGGCCCAGGACAGCTGTGACTACTGAAGTATTTTACCACCACTGTGTACGAAGTGGATGAATGAAGTCAAGTGAAACGTCTATGAGTGTCCAGAAAAGCAAGCACTATACAAAACCTCTATGCATTATTACTATTATATTCAAAGTGTCAGACCAGGATTTATGGGTACTCGGGACTACCTGGGGCTAGATTATGCATGTCTTGTGTTTCCTTCTGTGCATGATGTTTATAGTATCTCCTAAACAAATGTATAGTATTTCCGAAAGAAATCTATATCGGAGCCTCCTTGACCCACATTTAGCCGTCGTGTCGCCTTAACGTTTACACACAGGTCATCCCGAACGAATGAGCAATCGAGTCTTTCTCATAGATATAATGACTTCACTTGTTTCTCTCCCTTTTGTCTGATTTTCTGTAGATGTGCTGGAAGTGTTGACAGAGGTGGATGATAAGTCGAGGAGGAGCCCAGAGATCGTACAGTATTTCATAGTGAGTCAGTTTCTTCATGAGTTCAAAAGATACACCGCAAAAAAAAAAAAACAAGGTAGAATGGCGTAATCACGGCAAGACCAGTTTATTTGTATCGCACAATTCATTCGCTTTAAGTGCTTTACAAAACAAACAGAACGCATTCAAAGTATAAAAAACCACAATAGATTACATTTAAAAGCTGTTGAATCAAGTCATTTCTTAAATATTTTCTCTTGTTTCATGCAAAAAAGCAATTTTTTTCTGATATTAAGTTAGATGTTGCTTGTCCCATTCAAATCGAGTAAATTTTGATTCGATTTGAATAATTATCTCATATTTTTTCTTTTTTTTGTAGTGTATATTTTTTTCTTGAATTGTTAATCACTATAGCAACAGCGTTATGTTATGTGTCATTTCTAACCTTCATATGACATCCATGACATTTCTCTGTCCTGTTCTTTTGTTGTTGATGCAGACAAAGCTAAACAAGTGTTAGGATTTAAGCAGACAGAGACGGATCGTGGTGTGCCAAACTCTGGAAGTTTATTTAAGTTTCTCTCAAGTTCCACTGTTTTACTCTGTTTCTTTTCCTCAGACAGAATAAAGGCAGTACACAGTTTATATAGTCATTGTCACGTCACACATCGAAAGACATACGTGTCACAAAGAGACAGTCAAATCATAGTCATAACATGGAGTCCTTGTAGAGTCCTTGTACAGTCCTGCACGTAGGCCATATTGCTATCTAATACTAATACCCTCCCCTTTGATCACATAATCACATGTGATCATTCAAATCGATCAATCAATAAAGTGGAAAAAGAAAAAAAAATCTAAAAAAAAACTTTACAAAATTATTAAAAACAAAGAAAATGTATGCATTAAACTCATAATCATCAAATCAATATCAGTGGATTTTATCCTCTATCCTGGGAAAAAACAAAACAAACAAAAATAAATCAAAAATAAAAACAAACAAACACTATTGGACACACAAGAACTCAGCAGATCAGTCAAAACACAGACAAAAACGAGCTGAGTCTCAAATTAGAAGCTAATTTCACTTTTCTTACTCTATACTTTTATTCTAATGATAATTGTTTACACTTCACTCCACTGTATTATTTTCACTTATCAATCTTAGACTGTGTACTTTACTTTTATTATTCACTATAGTTTAAAACTATTCTAATCTATTTACAAATATGTTTGCATATTTGCTTCTATTGAGCCATATTCTTAAACATACATTTTAACCTAATAAATCTCTCTGTGGTTTTATACTCTCATTATCAGTGGCTTATTATCAGTTGGATTTTGCTCCATCTCTATTCTCATTCTCAGGAATAAAACTGTGAACACAGTAAGGCAAACGGTCAACATTTACACTTCTATAGTGGTCAGTGATTTATTACTTTTTATTATCTAAAGATATTATTGTCAGGCAGTTTGGGATGAATGTACATCATTAATCAAATTAGTATTATACAAGAGCTAATCTATTTTAGCAGGTTTGGGGTTGGGGTCAGTTATTCTACAATGGTGTTTGTGCTGGAAACTTCTCAAAGATATCTAAATATCTACTATTGTGTTTTTGTGCTATACACAAATACATCAAAATGCTTTTAAATGCTTTTGAATCTCTGTTGGTTGTAATCTATCTCATTGATCTAGGCATTAATCTAGGCTACACTCATATGGACTTTTTGCATAGTCAACATTCACTCATGTGTGAACACAAGTGAATTTGGCAGTATCTAATAAAACTGTACATAAAACTGTAATTAACTTTATCTACTTTTGAAGTAAATGCTTGTGAAATGGTCCCTTTACCATTTGATATTAGCACTGGCTACAAATAATCTGATGCATTTACCTAATTCTATTTCTACTCTACTGTGACTCTAAAGTTTGGCTGCAGTTTGAGCAAAGGCATATTCCTAATCTGTGACTTCTGTCACTTTTAGTGGCTGTAACATGATTCTGATTCTAATATTATAGCTGATCTATCAAAAGGATAACATTGTAGGGTACTATTTTAACTCTTACGTGGAAATATGTTTATGAACAACAAAGGAAGGACAATTCTACTCTTTTACTACTATTTAACATCTACTAAAACGCTACAATACTTATACTTTATCATTTTCAAAGTTTTTGTCTGTCAGATGTCTGAATACTTAACATGTATATTGCATTTGGTCACAGGTTCTGGTTGTAGCAATAGCATCGGCAATAGACGTTTTCATTGGCTGGTTCTTGTTCTGCAAATGGCTGTGTCCAATAGATCATCAGATGTCCAGAAGCTAGGGACAAACAAAAACAAAAGAAAGAATCATGAGTATCTGTCTCATTTAGCACTCATCTATGTATGATTTCAAAAATATAAACATCACTCCCCAGTTTTCTCTCTCAGGTCCTCAGATCCTCAGGTCCTCAGGGTCCCCTGAGGGTGAGTCTCAGTCGTCATCAGGTCAGGTCATATTTCGAGAGATGTCATCTTGGACATCAGTAGGGTCCAAGCCATGGTTCTGGTCACTCCAGTTGGACATCAGGATCTCCAGATACACTCTTTTCACTTGAAGCACATCAGGTCATTTGCGATGCACTTCTGGTCAATGGTGCAGTGTCACAGTTCCTGTACACAGCTTGTTATGCAGTAGTTACTTTCTATGGTTAAATCACTTTGATTCTACTTTAACACAATTTCTATTCATGCTGTTGCTAATGTCCCTCAGACAAAAAGCAAGCGCAGTTTACTTCTCTAATTTGTGTTTTTATCAGATCTAATTCTCATCAATGTAATTACTTCACACAGTACAAAATCAAAACATCAAAAGTGTCAGGACAGAGGTCAATTAAGTCCATGACAATATAGAATTCAAATGAACATTTCTGGTCTCAAAAAATACTGATTCAAGTGATAGACAATTAAAAATATGTGTTTACATTGGAGTAAACTTTTAAAATGCTTTTTTCTCATGTTCTGCTTTTTCATGTATCTATATGTAAATGTGAATGTGTGAGTGTATGAGTGTGTATGTGTGTGTGTGTGTGTGTGTGTATGAATTTTGGGGTTGTCTCTCCAGACTCCACGAACCACCTGTAGGTGTCAAAGGTCACACTGTGGTGATGCAAACCAACTGGACACACTTTCAACTCCCTCTAGGTCTCTACCTGACGCTCCACCCATCACGTCTCCAGAAACCTCTCTTTCATGGCCCCGGTCTCTCTCCCACTTACTTCTGTAGTGGGGGGAGGGGCAAGGAGGTGGCATTTCCCTTTGCTCTTAGCTCTGTGACCTGTGGCTGGGTGGGCTTTGCGCTGTCCAGTGTCCAGCAGTGACCCCTCCCACAGTGTGCCAGAGTCTGAAAAACAATCCTTGAAACAGCCAATTTAAAAAAACAATAGATATCAGTATGCGAATGAGATTGTTTTTCTCTCTGAAGTCAAAACAATTTGAGCGCTCTGGGTTTTCCCAAGCGCTATGTAAATAAAGATTACTTATTCTCTTACTAATGATGACATTTTAAAACACCAGAAACTAAAGAAGTTATCAAAACAACAATTATACTCAAAACAAACAACCTTTTAAACTTTAAAACATGTATTATATACTTTTGTACTGTGTGATTAATTATCTATGCGTCCTTGGGTTTCTTGAAAGACGCCATGAAATGAAATTATGAAAAATCTCTATAAAAATGAACATTAATTTGTAAAAACATTTAAAACAAAACTTGAAATCAAACAAAAGATTTAGCTCCAGCTACACTGGATTTGGTTCAATAAAACTCAATTGTGCGTCGGAGCTGCCTCCTCATGTCTCTGAGCAGCAGCAAGGTCACGCGTGTAGTCAAAACAAAAACAAAAGTCACCGCTTGAATGTGAATTGGGTGAATTGGGTAGTTTAACTTAATAATATAATACTTTTACAGCCTAATTCTCTCTTTCTTTTTTAGACGAAGTCTACAATCATTAATCACTTTTAACAGATTCTAATTTAAATGTTTGAAAAACGGCTTTTGTAACTAAAATAAAAAATACATGAAAAAATTCTCACAAACAGCTATGAAATATATCAGAGATACAATAATGGACTCACAAAATAAGCAGCAGATTTAAAAAGAAAAGCAAAGCTTTTTGTACTAATCTTTGGGTTTCAAAAACATACTAATTCAAAACTTCTATTCCCTAATGGTGTTTAAAAACGTTTAACTGTGTCTAACACAATGTTCAAATGGCAAATTTAGCAAATTTAACGGAATAACTACTATGAAAAGCCAAATTCCTAAAGCAGTAGCTCCCCTTTAAATCAGAGCAGCAGCTCAGCAGCAGCGAGGGCGGGGGGGTTCCTTTCACACAGACGCGCACACACAGGCAGAAAGATACAGAAGAATAACTTTCAAGATTACTTTTTAAAGCGAATATAACTTATGTTGTTCTTTATACTTTTGTCATCCAAATCTAGAAGTGATCACTTTCCACACTAGTAACAAAAGGCACTCTTTAGTGTTTAACGTTTCCCTTTTTATAATTACTTTTAATTCACCATGGTTTCTCTCAAAGGGACTTTAACCCTGAAGCTTCTTCTCAAAGGGACTTTAACCCCGAGACTTCTCTCAAAGGGACTTTAACCCTGAGACTTTCTCAAAGGGACTTTAACCCCGAGGCTTTCTCAAAGGGACTTTAACCCCGAGACTTTCTCAAAGGGACTTTAACCCCGTCAGGCTTTCTCAAAGGGACTTTAACCCCGAGACTTCTCAAAGGGACTTTAACCCCGTGACTTTCTCAAAGGGACTTTAACCCCGTCAGGTAGCGAACCTGTTTTTAATCTAATCTGATCTATAGATACATGACATTTGGCAGACCTTAAAAAACAGACCATAATTTAGTTCACTCAATTAGCAGACTTTGAATAAACAGGTGTCCGCTCTTACCTTTTGTCGAACAGGGCCCAGGTACCGTCAAAAGTCCACCAAATATCAGCTTTTCCACGTCCAACCAGGTCTCCAGATCATGAACCAGCGCTCACTAGTACCGGGAACTAGCTTCCATCGGCAGAGACCAATCACCCGTCAAAAATCCCCGGAATGCGGACATGGGAAAACAATTTGAAACGCTAAGTCCAAAAAACAGGACACAAAAAAAATATAGTGAGACAGCGAAAAAGAGTCCCGGAGCCGGTCGCCTCTCCAGCCTGCTGGACCGCTCCCAGGCCCCAGACACTCTCAGCTCTCCCACGCCGAGAAAAAGAAACAAAGCAAACTCCCTCAAAACAATCCAGAGAATGGCACAAACCGAGCCGCGCATTCTCCACCAAATCTGTAAGGATTTAACAGACAGAGACGGATCGTGGTGTGCCAAACTCTGGAAGTTTATTTAAGTTTCTCTCAAGTTCCACTGTTTTACTCTGTTTCTTTTCCTCAGACAGAATAAAGGCAGTACACAGTTTATATAGTCATTGTCACGTCACACATCGAAAGACATACGTGTCACAAAGAGACAGTCAAATCATAGTCATAACATGGAGTCCTTGTAGAGTCCTTGTACAGTCCTGCACGTAGGCCATATTGCTATCTAATACTAATACAAGCCATTTTATTCTTTTATTTTCACTCTTCTCCTGTTTGTACACATTTTTGTGCATCCTCTGGCATAAAATGTACAAATCTAGCCAAAGCTGACCATTTTTCGTAGCTTTGAACACAGAAGTGAGAGATGAGGTCACACTTAACAACTCCACAGGTAGAACATGCAACACTGGGTTTGAATCAATAACTAAAAATGCATCATACTAAACTGTACATACACAGCCAGACACAAATTATTTTTTTCTTTTAAATTTTTATGACTGTAGCTTGATTTAAATGATTGAAGCTCATTATCAAAAATACCATTGATTGTTGTTTTTATGACCTACAATCATCATCTGGACATTTCTGATTGACATGGAATTGTTTTTGTTCTCAGAGTGATCTGCAGAGGCTCATGGCGTCTTCAGAGGAGCTGTGTCGAAACATGGCCTTCAGTCTGGCTCTGCGCTGCATCCAGAACAATCCCAGGTGACTTCATTTGTGGGAAGACAGATCAGACAACACCAGGATGGAGTTGAAAAATAAACAGATTTTTAATTGACTAGAATAGTAGCAGAATATCATATATTTTCTATCATACTATATTGGATCTATATAAGTTATTCGGGCAATCACAATATTGATACATGCAGTGTAATCTAAAAGACAAGCAACAGTTCATTTGTAAAAACAGAAAACAAAAAATATTAATTTTGAAAATCTGTTTTGAGAAAGATCTCACACTCCTCTGTATTCAGTCCCTCCGTTTCACTCTGCACTCTGCCCTTTCATGTGACGCCAGTGGAAATGTGGTCCCATGAAGTCAGCGATCTATCAGTATTTTATATATATATATTTTTTTCAAGCTAATTTCAAGCAAGACTTATCTATGTATCACAAATTTACAATAGTAAAAATAGTGGTCATGTTGCAGTGAAAAGTCAGGTGAGGGCGTTGGCGCCTCTGATGAAAGAGCTGTGCCAAAAATGAAGACCACAATAACGTAACATGTGATGAGCTGAGAAAGGCTGTTTTTATTATCATGTGATCTCGCCTCTCACTCTTTGTAAAGTAGTAAAATTAGGAAAATAAATATTGTGTTTGTCATACCAGTTATTTTGCATTTAATAGAAGTATTTTAAAAACGAATTGGACAAATCAGATCAGAATTCGAGATTGGCCATAAGAAATAATCAATCAAGAATTTGTATTTCTTCAATCTCTCTATTTATTTCATTCTTTGCTCATGACCTTATGGGTGGTTTGGAGCACAAGATCGCCCCGCCCATACTGAAATGCTCTATAAACGTGTAGTCCGGTTGTTTGGCAGGTTATATTTAAATGTGTAGCTTTATCTCATTAACAAACTGATGGTATTTGTTGCAGCTTGGCGACAGACTTCCTGCCCACGTTCATGTACTGTTTAGGAAGCGGGAACTTTGACGTGATCCAGACCGCGCTCAGAAACCTCCCCGAGTATGTGCTCCTCTGTCAAGGTGAATCTCCATCTCTTTATGGAATCGGGCGTTTCTTTGAGCTGTCATTTTGTTACACAACCAAACACTTTCTCTCTCTCTTTCTAGAACATGCAGACATCCTCCTACACAAGGCCTTCTTAGTGGGGATCTACGGACAAATAGACACAAGCTCAATGATTTCCGAATCCATGAAGGTTCTGCACATGGAAGCCACCACGTAAACTCTGAAAGTACTCTGGAGAAAGACGTTTGCTGAGTTTCAATTTCATTTTCTATTGTTGGATCATTGCTTCCTCTCATAACATACAGTAGTGTTCTTTATAATGTGTAAACAGAAACCACCTTTTGCTAATTTAGTCACCAGAACATTTAGATTTCAAAACGCAAATAAATAAAAAAAACACACATTGTTCAATCTGTGGGTTGTCTTGTTTCATGCAAGCTTTTACCGCTAAAGAATTCTAGTTTTTTTTAACTTGTTTGCTTCCTTGTTTGGAAGAAAATTCCTAGTTTGTGACTTCCTGTTACTTACAATGCCGGATAAAAATAATTCTATATATCTATGAAAATTAGAATATCGTTCAAATGTCTATTTAATTCTGAAATTCAACTTACAATGTAAAACTAATACATGACAGCCTCATCACACACAAAGGGAAATATTAAGTCTGTATTTGTTAGGATGTTGATTATTGCCACAGCTTTTAAAAACCCAAAATCTCAGAAAAGTAGAACATTTTGAAGTTAATTATCAAAATGATAAAAAAAAAGCTTTCATTTATCAAACATCAATATATCATTTTTTTCTGAGTTTCACATGTATCGTCTCCCAAATCAATGAATAAATAATGCTTTAGGAATATTACCGTATTTTGTTTTTGTAGTTATTTGGGAGAATTCACATTTCCACCCTGACCACTTATTATTATGTTACACTTTTCACCTATGTCAAACTGAATACAAAGTGGTGCCAGGTTTGCAGACTGATTTTATTCCAATAATTGCGGCATCTGTTCTCGGCGTCTCGCTCGGCGCCGCGCTGTTGCAGACAAATGAAAGGCACGCGGCGCACGCTGGAATGGAAACCGTTTTGGCGTGAAAGTGTGAGGTGTTTTTCACTGACTTCATCTGAAACCTTCATGGAGTCAAAGGCCCAAGTGGAACAATGTGAAGCACGCTGCTAACCCGGGGAAGTGCATGTCTCCATTTGTGGCAAACTAAGCATGGCAGTAATTGTTCAATCACAGACGAAAGCGGCTTTGAAGACCCGATACGGCTCTGACTTTTAAGTGTGGAGTTTTGTTACATGGTCAAACAGACTGCTTATAGGACATGTCCACACCAGTCTGTGAAACCTGCCCTTTGGAGAAGGAGAGATCGTGAAATAATGTTTTAAACAACAGCTTTTTCACCTCTGTAATTGAAATCAGCACAAAAACAAAAAACAATTTAAAAGGACAATGCTTTTTTCCAATGATAAGGGAGTGTTTTTTTCAGTTCACATATGAAGTGACTGCAATAACTAATCACTATGATCATCTATTATAAAACTAAATTGAAGGTGGACTACATACTATATTATTATGTACTTATCGTATCGTTTCATTCAAAATTCCAAACATTCGTTTTTTGGTCTCCATGTAATTGTACAATAATATTTGTGCACTCTCACAGCTGTGGCATTCCTGTTGGAAAGTGTCAATTGCACCTGTATGGTTTCCTATAACCAGCTGAAAGCTGTGTTTATGGTTTATCAATCACCTGGTGCAGACTCTTGGTGCGGCGCCAGCGTCTCATTGGCTGAGCAGCAGTGAGGCGTGACCGGGCTGAGTGACAGCTAACGAGGTGGAAGGGGCCTGAAGAAGGCGCTGATAAGGAAAAGCACTTTATTTGTCATACACATGAAGTGCGATCTTCATCTTCTGCAAACTACTGCACGTAATGTACAGAACTTCAACTCGACAAAGAGTATTTTAAAGGAAGAATACAATATTATTTAAATCATCATCCTTACATTTGTTAGAGATCCACATGTTTGTCACCTCAAATCCTTCATACAGTGAGTACACACTGATGCGTGTTTTTCAGACTCAAGAACATTCCTAATCAACACGCCTTCAACACAATTACGATCCAATTATACAATCTAATATTGACGTTACTTTTAAAACACCTCCAGTTCTGGGGCCAAGACAAAGGGCCACATGGTTGTACAAACTCTATAATACATTGTTTTCTGTGCGAGTAACACTTGTTTATCCTCAAAGTCACCAATGAATGTGATCAGACTATTGTCCCTCTGCTGGTGCTGCATCAGAACATGTCATCCTCTGTAAAAGTGGGCAGTGAGTGATAGAAGAGCAGGAATGTGTTTTAACCCAGATGTGCTGGTACCTGCCCGCACATCTGTCCGCTCTCAGTCATCGTCTCCGTGGCACCGCGGCCTTAGATCATCTCCTCTGCTCCACGCTTCACTGGCACTCGGCTCATGAAGCTCCGAGAAGCGGCCGTCTATGGCACCTCCTCTGCTCTCTGGCACTTTGATGTCTGAAGTATGATTGCTGTTGGACTGAGGCAGCTTTCTCCTTGAAGACTGTGACATAAAAAGCAGGACGGAGCTCTCAGGTTTTGCCCAAGTCCAGTGATCCGGGACTAAAACAATCAGGCGGCTCTGTGTGCGGATACTATTACTGCACAGTGAGGGACAGGCCATAGGGGCTTCCTCAGCCATGAAATCCACTTAGCTTCAAGTTCCAAACACATTTTTGAGCTGTTGACTCAATTACATATCCAGACTTGGATTTAAGAGCAAGATTACATTCAAATGTATAAACTTTTCATGCAACTTTTTTGCATTTTCAACAACATGGTCTGGTTAGACATGAAGAGTTTTTGAAAAAGTATATTAACTTAGATTAACAACAAGTTAGTTGTTGAGATGAGTAACCATAACCCTGAAGCGAATGAATTACACATTATTGTCATTTTGAAGTGAATTTGTTACAAGAAATTCACTGCATTTGACGGTTGTATTTGAATAGTCTTCATAATGTAACAATGTTGTGTTATTGTTGCAGTTTCGCCTGAAAGGGAGTCGGAAGAAGAGAATTCACTCCCACCACCTTTTCTATTTACATATTAGCTTCTCTGCTACTGCAAACTTAAAATGAATGACAAAGACATACCAAGAGAGAATTAATACTCTTTAATTCTCCTTAATTAAAACTCATCTCTTTTTTCATTTACTACAATTAAAAAAACATTTAGCTACAGTTGTTTACATCTATTGTATTCATAAATCGCTTTTAAAATATAATTATTAATATTGAAGTGGCTCCTTTTCAACATTTTCATTGAAGCAGCACAATCAGATCTCTGATCTGTTGTTTGTGAATACAATTACATTGGATTGTAACTTTCTGCAGGTGGTATGTCACCTACATGATGACATTAAAGCTGGGGGACCTAACTTTATTAGAGTTTGTCCCAAAAGAGAGAGTACTGTAAAAGTAAACCACAAGATGCTCCTCTTATTAGAAAGTATATTTTTCCTACTTTTAAGAACGAGCCCTGTGAGCACTTATTTGACACTTCGGGCTGAGAGATTATTGGCTGAGTGAGGCTGGTCTTCTCTTTTTCACTTTTCGGTGTTAAAAAACACTTTGAATATGTGATAGAGGCCAAAAAAACATGCACATGAAAACTAGAATTGAATTGAAAGATAGTCCTCCTAGATTTAGAATAGAAAGTCAAAACAAATCTTTGAACTTGAACTTACATTTGTCATACTGTGGAAAAACCAAACAAGCAGCAGCCAATCAGGGCTCAGGAGACACAAGCCTTCTCAAAGTTCAAACATACTTCAAAAGTTTTATTCCAATATTTACATTCCGCATTGTATTCCACATTGTAAAAGTCGCCATCGCGGCAGATTTATCAATTTATCAAACGGCAGCAGTTGCATGTACAGTATCTGAAAATGTCTGATAAGTAATCATTAAGAGCAGAGCTTTAAGTGACAGCCCTTAAGCCTCACTTACACTTTCATTAAATATTGATCCTATCTCGACCCATTGTCACGAAAGTCTGCAAATTACACCACACATACTGTAGATTCCCGTGACGGCAGGGAAGGCGATAATCATCTTTCCTTCCGTGACATTTGCCAGAACTCTTGTTTTATGAGCTAAAGTGTCGTTGTCGTGGATAATGTGCTCCATCTCCAAAATGTCAAAGAGTCTCTGCTCGTAACGCTGAGGCCAGACACACTCACACTGTCAGAACAGGCCAAAACTAATGCTATTATTTCAATTTGGGTTTTTAATCAAGGTTGTTTGCAATAATTAATTTAAACACCATTTCATCAAATTTGAAAATATATGTCTATATGTTGTCTTTTAAATTGTAAAAAAAAATGTCAAATTTGAGCCTCGGGAGCCTTCTCAGAGCCTCGGGAGTTAGTTGTGCGAAGCGAGTGGCAACAACTGTGTTCCAAACCAAGCTTCCAACTTGGATTATGGTTGTGATGATTGAAAAGTTGTCTTCAGTGGCTTCGAATAAAGTTTAAAGCTGATTACAATAATAAGATAATAATAATACACATTTTGATATATTTGGGCAGAATAATCAAGCAAACTCTATACAACCTTTGGTCCGTAAGGGGCAGCAGACCAATGTTCATAAACGTCTTGAATGTCGAGTCTCATCACCACTGACCCTCCTGCATCGGCAACGGAAAACTCTTAAAAAACCCAGTGGGGGAAATTAGAAACCTCGGAGTGGCCCACATTGAAAGAGGCATCCGCTCCCATGGATGGACTCAGGCTGTAGAACGAGGACAGGGGCCACGCGGGCTGAGCCAAATCCTGGACCTTCTTGCCAGTATTTCTTTAGTGCAACAAAAAAAACCTTGCTTCCCCATTCACCTTTCCTTCAAGTTCTGCTCTTTTTTGACTTTGTAACAAATCAAGGCAAGTTCAAACAAGTCCTTTTTTACTTTTTTTCCGCAAAGCCTGACCAAAAGTGCCACACAGAATCCCATTGGTGCGCGCTTAAACCCAAACACAATCAGGAGCCTGTCGCTTCAGCCGAACGACTTGCTAATGATACAATGATTGCCGTTTTACCTGTGGATCCTCGGCTTCCCCTGTCATCCAAATACCTGCGAGGCCAATAACACCTGGCTTTAGACATCACTATTGTGGCTCTAATTCCTCCTTCAATTATCCTTGAGCAGATCTTTTGAACAGCCTCCCCCAACCGGTTTTCACCAATTTGGGCCCTGATTATGGAGATCAATGGGCATTAGGCGGGACAAACAAACTCTATAGTTATAGGATGAGATGGGGGGGCAGCTTTTAGACAGAAGGAGAAATCCCAGTGACGGTTGTGTACACCAGACACTCACTCAGAAGGCTATTGAAGCGTTTGTTTTGCCACATTTGGACCAGACGCCTAATCTGTTCTCCCGCCGAGCGCAAGATCAACAAATCACTTCCTTCAGTTTGGTTCAGTCTGAGCTAATTCTTACATCATGGCTTTCTGGCATATAGAGGGTCACATTGGTAGATATGCTTCAAAAGTGGGTCAATGATAATAGTAAAAAAATTTGCTTACTATAACCTCCGAAAATTAAAGAAGTAATACATATTCATACGTATTTTATCCACGATTCAATTATTTTCAACATGAAAGATTGGAATTATAATTAAATGTTTATATTTTGGAGGTATGTAGGCACACGCATACACCTACGCACATTCCAAACACAAAGTATAGGCCAGAAATTTCGCAAAAAAATGAATACGAATTTTCCGCCTGGAGTTTTTGGCTTTATTACAAGTCCCTAGATCTCATTTCCAGTGACATTTGCCTCAACTGTGACACAGGAAATATTGAAACTCAAAATGTGCAAATTTCACACTAGTTGTACCCACCTTTATATTTACCATGAGAAATTTAGGTAGACTTTGGAGTTTGATTTTTCACTGTGAATTGTTGCCACTTATAATTAGAATAAATACGTCTTCTGGGTCCAAAACTGTTCTGGGACTTCACAAAGAATCCACACATTTGTTAGTACTCCAAAGGGTTCTCAGATTCAGTTTCAGTGTCTAAGCAAATTCCTAGTTTGTGACTTCCCGTTTCCTGTTAAAGGCAATACATATAATTCTGATTCTGATTTAGTTTTTTGGTGTTTTAGAGAAAAAAAAGGTTTGATTAATAAGGGGTTAACACATTTGCATGCAGTACTATGGAATCTACTGAAACTCTAGAATTAGCCAAAAACTCCCCAATCAGGTTAAACCGTTTTAAGTCATTTCCAAACGCTCTAACGCGATGAGTGCCGTGTTTGTTTGGACAGGTGCAGATAAAAAGAGCCACAACATTGGGCATATCCTCCTGACTCACCTCTGCCTCTCTCTCTCTCTCTCTCTCTCTCTCTCTGTCCCGGGACATGAGGGGCACATCAAAAGCCTGCCGCGTGTTTTCAGCACTGTGTCTCACCGTGATGAAGACGAGCAGGCCGTTAGCCGCCGTTAGCTGATCTGTTGGGGATTAATTGAGACACCTGTGTTTAATTCTCTCACACATCAGGAACATGTCAGAGCTGAGGCACACCTGCGTCACTCACACATGTGTCGACACCACAGCCGCTGCAGCTGTGGACGGGAGCGGGGCGTGACTCACTGATTGCTCTGTATTTGGTTGTACGATCTGAGGCAGGGCTGGGGGATTTTTTTATTGTAGAGGGTATTGTGGAGGGCTTGATCCATTTTTTTTTCATGCAGTTATAATGTCATTTTACTAGAATTATGTTGAATTAAAGTTTGAAATGGTGTCACGGTGGCACAGCGGTTAGAGCAGGGCTGTCAAACTCATTTTGAAGGCGGGCCAAAAAAAACATAAGTGAGTAATCTTTTATTTATATAGCACCTTTCTCAGACCAGAGTCACAAAGCGCTTTACATTTGTTATGTTTGGGCATTTGTCTCTCAGTCCACACAGAGAAGGGAGCGAGGTCGCCCGTACAGGATGCACATGCAAGACCTATTCTTGCATGTGGTTTCGGTAGGGGAAACCGGAGCACCCGCAGGAAACCTACTCAGACACAGGGAGAACATGCATACTCCACACAGAAAGGCCGTGTTCCAACCGGGTTTCGACCTCAGAACCTTCTTGCTGAGAAGTGAAAGTGCCGCCCATAAAAAATGGTTGGAGCCAGAGGTATAAAAGTTGTACATATTTTATTTAGATGATCTGTATTTGAGTTTGAATAATATTTTAGAACAGATACAATTAAGGGTTGTTTTCCTGAGACAATAGGCTTTAAATTGAAGTGTATCGATGCTGCAAGTTACTGCGATAAACATAATTGAAAATCATTTCAGGGGCTACTAAAAATCGTCTCTCGGGTCTGAGTTGGACATACCTGGGTAGAGCTTTTGTTTCACAGCAAGACGGCCCTGGGTTCGATTCTACCTCCAGGCCTTTCTGTGTGGAGTTGCATGCTCTCCTTTGTGTCTGCGAAGGTTTCCTCTGGGTGCGCCGGGTGCTCTGGTTTCCCCTATACCACTACAACATGTACAATCGGTAAGAATGTAACGAGTGAGTGAATAGATGGTGTTGATGAATCTGCAACTTTGTAAATTCCTCCGAGACGCATGATGTTGTGATTCAGAGCTATGAAAAACAGATTGGTTGTTTTGTTTATCTGTTTGTGCAAAGTTACTCTATACTGGACGTTATTGTAGACTTGGGTAAAATACATGTAAAGTGCTTAGTATTGTCTTATTGTCTGGTTAAGTAAATAGTATAACACTGCTGACAGTACAGGTATTATAAAGATCACAACAGAGGAAAAAGTCGGCTGCATTTCCCTATCCGTGAAACTTTCCGTTCAGATTTGATCATTCCACAGAACTGTTTGTGCACTTTTTCATTGAGTCTTGTGTTTTGTTTTTGCAGCATTGTCGCGCTCGTGCGTAATCAATTAGGATTCCACGTCCATTAGCTACTTTCACAGTGGTGTTAAAGGGGATTTGCATGTGTACTTTGAGACAGGGAATGTGTTGAGTGAAGAGCTTAAAGTCTGTAAACAGGATATAATTCACACGGCCTGTTAGTGTGCCAAGCAAAACACTGCAAACAACAAAGGAAAGGTACAAAACTCACTCAACAAGGAGGCCGTTCGCTTTATCCCCATGTTAATCTCATGTTTGCAGCTGATTTAGACTCAAATAACTTTAGTATAATAGCCGTTTGAAAAGTTAATTTGCAAAGACAGGTGCAGCCATCAGAACAAATATTTGAAATTCTGACAATATGCCCTGAGTCGAGTTGTTTTTTAAGAAGCCAAATCTATTTTAATGTCATAAAAATAAACGTTTGCCTCTTCTTGAGCAAATGTACAGCCAAAAACAAAACATGTTGAAGATTGTGGCCAGAGGAAAACAACTTTTTGACACATTTTCAAAACGGAGATGTCTGTTTGTGCAGAATAACTCATTTGTTTTAAAGCTGGGGTACCAAACTTTCAAACCAGAACAAATAATTGTTATGGATATGCATGTATTTTAGCTTTTAGCTTTAGAAATAAAGAGGACCACCCTCACTCAACCAATCAACTCTCAGAACAAAGCATCAAATAGTGATTCACAAGGCTCTTTCTTACACGGCAAATGACAAAGGTGCTTCTGGATAAGATAAAGACTGCATCTTGTGGTCTGATATGTTCACTAATTGACTTTCTGTTGCAACAAATAACATGTATTATTTATGAACCAAAAAGAAAGTTAGGTACCCCTGCTTTAATTCAACTAATAGTCCTCACAATGCAGTAGAAACATCAGCAAAACAGCCAAAGCACTTGAAAAGTCTGCGACCAGTGTAAAACTGACTGGGTCACATGTCAGAGGGAGGAGACACAGGCTCAGGTAAGCCCACCTCTGTGCATCTTCACTTTCCACCCAAGGCTTTATAGCCACACTGCTGCGGCATTAGGTCAGAGGAACCCTGACCGACTTAAAAGGAAATGTACTCAGACATGTCTTTGTACCAGCCTCCCCCCGCTCTGTGACCAGCCTGGCCCATGCTCTGATGCTTCTCAGCGGACTGCACTTCGACATGTTTGGCCCTGGACAGCTGGTTTCTTCTCTCCTACCTGCCATCCTACATTCACCGACAGCTCACTTCTTCCCTGCTTTCCCGACCAGACTGGGAGCCCAACCACCGTTCCTGATTCCTCGACCTTTTATCAGCTATGAATCTTTGAGGAGCTATCTTCATCCAGAGCCCTGTAAGGAGGCCCTGCTGCTGGCCTCACAGAGAGTGGGTCTGGGCCGGTTCTGCGAGAGCATAGGTGAGTGTGAATGGGCCAAACAGTGTGTTTGATGGAGACATGCTGCTAAAGTCAATCTGGCAGTAAGTGCAGATACTTAGACAGTGAGCGTCACCATCTGACTGTAGAGTAAATGTTTACAAAAGATTGGCTAACAGCTCGTAACTAACAATCAATTATCAGCCAGTGTTAAAGTGTGCCTAATGATGGCTGTGCTAATGATCCAATCCAGAGACATTAGTCGCTTGTCACCCGTTGGCGCTGGTGTAATTGGTGCTTGTGCGGCACTTTCCAGATGAACAGCGGCCAGTGAAGCAGCGGCGCGCTCGGGCCAACTACAGCAGCTGGCAGCTGGAGGAGCTGGAGAAGGCCTTCGAGACCACGCACTACCCAGACATCTTCATGAGGGAGGCCCTGGCTCTGCGACTGGACCTCATCGAGGTTAGAGTACAGGTAATTGACTTCACGGGAAATGCCTGTTTCATACCACTTTAATTCCAATTAATTAGTTAATTAGCAAAGCAAATTATGTAGCCAAGCTTCATTATGGGTTTAGAGGGGATTAAATGTCCAACTGTAATGCACATTCATGTGCAGTAGTAAAACTAGTACAAATTAACTGCGATGTAATACAGAGACTCAATGCAAAATTCATTACCTCTAATTAAAAGGATTCCAGCCAATATCGTGTATCAGTATCTAGTTCATATTATTTCTCACCACAATTCATTCTGACTCTTCAGGTTTGGTTTCAAAACCGTCGTGCTAAAATGAGGCGCCAGATGAAGCTGAAGGGGCAGCTATCAGGACCCTTCCTCCTCACAGACAGAGACTGTGACTCTGTGGGACACTCAGAGCTGTGTGACCCAGACCAGGACAGAACCTGTCCATGGACCAAAGCCCCCGCAGCCCTGAGCCTCCACACTGTCCCAGGACAGGGGCCAGAGGAGTCGATCTCAGAGGAGCGGCGCTGCTGCAGCATCGCTCGCCTCAGAGCCAAAGCCCGAGACCACGAGGCCGAGCTCCAGAGTGTGAGGAGCACAGAAAAACTGTCCCAGGATTCTGACAGCTCTGACTGAACCACAGGATCCTGTTTGCACAAATCTCACAATGAAAGGCCTGGTGCCAACTGCCAATACACGTGGAGTGTCTACGTCTGAGAGAACATGTAACATGTAACCAGCTTTGTACAGTATGTTATTCATGTAATGTAGAGTCAAATCTCTGTATGTATGTGCATATTAACACTGCATGCTTTAATAATATGTGCTCTAGAATGAGATGAATGCAGAGCCATTCATTAAAAGTGAGTGGAACGGTGACAGGCTCATCCTGACCTGTTCTGATCCGGACGTCTGCAGGCCAACACATGTCCTCTCAGGAAACACTGGAAATAACTGCAAAATGAAATCAGAAACAGTCAGATAACAAACTATTAATCCTGCCTTTGACAGATTGACTTGAAAGGGGATTCAAATAAACAAACTTGCTTATTTAAAACAGTTCATGTGTATAGAAAATAGATACAGGGGACTTTCAAACCGCATTTACAAAATTAGAAGTGATATTGGTAATAGATTGGCCATGTAATATCGACTCAATAGGCTCATGTGGGAAACATTTAGGTTGAGATTTGCCTGGCCTGCCAGACACTCCTCCTTTCTGTTCAAAAGAAGAAGAATATATGTTGTTGAAAAAGCATATCGTTTGGCAGGCCAGGCAAGGTTGAGATTTGGCAGTGTGATGCTGCCCCCTACTGGACGTCACTAAACACCTCTGTAATGCAATAACAGTTTGCTATGAACTTCACTAATGCCTTTGAATGTGAGGCTAAGGGGAGTGTAGGGGTCTTAAAGCTGGGGGTGCCTAACTTTGAAACCACAAACAATGGAACTATAAAATCAATACGACTAGTTCCCAGCTCTCAAAACTGTTGACTTTCACTGTCACTAGTTTTAAACATGGTTATATTTTGGCATCTGTCACAACTTTCAATCAACTTTTTCAGACAGAAAAGTGAAAATAAGAGGACCCTCACTCAGCCAGCCCTCAAATAGTGAGTCACGGGGTTTTTCTTTACAAGTATGAACAAGATTATATTTTAATAAAGTTGTGGCCTGAATTTTTATTTCTCAAAGGTTCACTTTTACAAGACTCTTCCTGTTGAGACAAACATGTATTATTGTTTTATAAAAGAAAAAAAGAAAAATAAATATGAGATTAAGATTATGATTAAAATATGCTTTATTCGTGTCAACACACAACACGATATAAAGTTAGGTACCCTAGCTTTACAGTCTTCAGAGTGAAAGTACAGGACAATTTTCATAATACATGAAACTCTCAAGTATTTTGATTGAAATAATTGTTAATTGCAAGAGACATAGATTTAAACAAGTTTATTACACGTTACTTACTCAGGTGCGGTGCCACATGTCAGAGCGCATCCATCTTTAGCCTCCCGGGTCATCCAAGCGCCCTTCACTACTAACCAGGCTGTATCTATTTCGCAGTATCTTCTTCAGTGCCGTGCGTCACTCTTGTAAACAGGAGAACCTCACACCACCACAGTCGCGCTCAGCTCCACGGGTCATCCACTGAGGTGACAGGCGGAAACAGGACGCATCTGCCCGGGCGCACTCCTCCGCGGTCCTCCCCCCGTCTCCTCTGGTCCTTCCTGAGCCTCCCCCTGACCACTCGTTATTACGCACGGGTCTCTCTTCGGCGCTCGTAGTTTGGCGCGTCTTTGCCATCAGCATTGTGTTTTGGGTGTATAGATATAGATATATACGTGGAAAGACGCACGCCATGGCCGCCATCAAAGCGCTGGAGCAGTGGTGCAAAAGTCAGTGCGATGGATACAAGGATGTGGCCATCACCAACATGACCTCGTCTTTCAGGAACGGAATGGCTTTCTGCGCACTTATACATAAATACAGACCCGACTTGATGTGAGTAAATTATGTGTAAAGTTATTTTTACTCATGTGAGTCAACAATGATCTTTTTAGTGAAACTCAGTCAAAGTCAGTGTACATTTCTCCATTGTCCGATCAATAAAGGTTATCTCATTTTATCCTACTTTCCAAACTTCTCTTGTACTTGATCTTGGGGGTCCAGGCCAACTCACTCACAACTTACAAACTCCTCATATAGCAGTGGGGTCTCTCTATTTACATTTATGGACACTGGTCATCTGCCCCTATATGGGCATTTCCTGTGTTTTATTCTCTGATCTGTGTTGGTGAATCGACATCTTTGCAAAGTCCTCAGAGAAAACAACTGTTGTGTTTCAGGGCTATACAAAAATAAATTGAATTGAAATTAAAAGAATCAAATAGAAGGGTTGTTTTTTTTAAAGCTCGGGGACCTAAATTTTACGACTGTTTGTCAGGGGTCTCCAACCTGTAGCTCGGGGGCCGCCAGTAGCTCGCCACATCCTTCCAGGTAGCTTGCCAAAGGATCTAGAAATTAACAAACCAAATAATATACTTGTAACATTACACAATATATTAGATTGTATTATTCATTCTCCTTATTAATTATCGTAACTGCACTTACTTTGTCACTAGTAACAAATATGTGATGATCAATAATAACTGTACCAGATATCAGACTAGTACACACCAATATTTCACCAATTTCTTTCCTCAGGGCCGCTTAAAGGAGTAGCTCTCTGCCTTTATTGTCCCGGGAAAGTAGCTCTCTGGGTAAAAAAGGTTGGAGACACCTGCCCTATGTTTATCCCAGCAGAAATAGTAATCAATAAGAAATAAAGTAATCTTATGTTAAACAATCACTGAGAAAACATAACTTATCACGTTATCTTTTGCATACTTGTAAGGAAGAGCCCTGTGAGTCACTCTTTTTCACTCTGGGTTGATAACCGATTGGCTGAGGTGGTCCTTTCTTTTTCACTTTCCTGTCACAAAAAGATGATTTCGAGACGTGACAGAGGGCAAAAAATAAAACCTAGAGATAGCACCACACTGTTTTGAGAGCCTGGAGCTAGTTACATGGATAGAGAGCTATTTTCTGTGGTTTGAAACTTAGATACCCCAGCTTTAAAGGTAGTGGTTGCTGTATAGTGATTTCAAACTTGGATCATATTTTAATGACTGTAAAACCTGCATTCTTACATTGGGTCAGCTTGCCTCCCCATATTTATAACTTATTTAAACCAGGCATGTCCAAACTTAAGGCCCGAGTGCCAATTGCGGCCCTCTTTGTCATTCTATGTGGCCCAATGCCTTGCTAACCCCAAAATACCATTGAGATTATGAATCCACAAATTCATAGTGTTATCCGGCCCTGTTAAGCCTAGCGCACATCGACAGAGTAACTGGAGACAACTAGTTGCAAGGCGGCTTTTGGCGACTGAGAGTAGATGATGGAGATGATCAGTTGCCGAAATCGGTCCATGTGAGCGCTCTTACAACTGGAGATAAACAGTCGATCTCCGGATTCAGTCAGTTGCCCGTGTTCTACTTTTCGGCAACTAGTTGTCCTCAGATCCGGAGATATCACCAGATGTGCGCGCCCCAACAACATGTGTGTATTGCGTGTATTGCGCGCTCTCTACAGTTTATGTCAGAAAACACACTGTAGTTGAGGCCAGTTGCTGTCAATGTACGCGCTGTTATTCCCGAGACTGGTCTGCTACTAGGAGTTGCCCGTTTTCGCCACATTGTCGATGTGTGCGGGGCAGCAACTCATAGGCGATTTGTATGCACTGACATTTGTTTTTCATAATGGCTCAAAAAATTTGTGTATGGCTTTGATGTAGTGACTGAAAAAGCTATTAAACTAACCTCATCTCTCACAGATGTTATATATGTATAAATGCTTGTGTTATACCTCATTTAGCATCTCACAATAGACCAATTCAAGTCAAAATAGTTTTCCAATCCGTGTTGTCAACCCCTGGACAAGAAATACCTGAATAATAACCTGATTATCACCAGTGTCTGTCATGCAGCTTTAAGACAGACTTGTGTTAAAGCTTCTTGCAAACAATATTGGGTCAGGTGGATTTATTGAAACGCCACATCCATGCTATAACAGCGTGTGACATTTCAGTGAATCTGGACCATGTACAGTATGTGCTTTTCGTGTGGTAGTAAAAATAATCATTGCTTTGTTCTTTTCCCAGAGATTTTGAGTCCCTGAAAAAGGAGGATGTGTTTGAGAACAACAGACTGGTGAGATGTCAAACTTGTCCAATCTTTTGTTTCAGAAAAATTAACAAATGACATAAGATTAGCTCAAGCATAATCTCTTGAGTCATTTCTGTTACGGCCGCTGGCGCTGGGCCGCGTCGTACACCCGCTTCCCTCCCTCCTGTGTTGTGCTGCTGTTCTGCTCAGGCTCCGCCCCGCTGCATGGTGCACCGGCTACGCACGCTGCCTCCCAGTTCTGCCTTCCGTTCGGAGATTGGGTCGCGCTTTCCACGTCTGGCCAATCCATCGCTGCGGCTAATCAGCACCAGCCTTGAAAACGAGTCTGCTCCTTCTGTGCGGGGCGGCTTGAATCAGTGTCTTGTCTGCCACCGTTCTGAGAGAACGTGTTGTCTGTGTGCGCTAAAGATTAAGCTTAAGGTTGCCTGTGTGGCTCTGTGCTTGTGTTTATTTGAGAACCCTGTGTTTTTGTGTGTTTTATTTGACTCTGACGCTGTCCAGTACAAACTGTTACCCCTTTTGCCTGTTTTATTAAAAGGCCATCTAATTTACCATTATTACATCCTTGGTTTTATGTTACTTCCCTCTTCCCCTACGAGCTCAACTGTAGGGTCGTAACATACTTGGGGGCTCGTCCGGGATCTACACGTTCCCGGCATTAGGTGGCCGAATCAAATTTATTAGGTAAGTGGGGGGGTAAGCTGTATTGTATTTGGACATTGGGAGAATGGCAACCGCTTTCAATTTACAGGCATTCTTGCTTCATCCCTCGGCCGAAGCACTTGAGCGCTGTAAAAAGAAGGATCTATTTGAGGTTGCCGATCATTTTGAGATTTTGTATTCCCGTCAGAGCAGCAAGGCCGAACTCAAGGTGCTGCTCCTGGATGGTTTGGTGGAGAGGGGCTTGCGTTTGATCCCAGAGGCTGAGAGGTCTGATGAGAGCATCGTGCATGCGACTACCCCGAGACGTACGGAGACGCCTGCGGATGGCCCTCCCGGAGCGGAGCGTGAGTTTGTAGAGGCGATGCGCGGCCTGAACCACCGCGCACTCCTCCTCGCTACGGGCCGCCCTCCCCAGCTCCTTCCTCTCCCGGCTCAGTTGGTGGTGCTCGGCGCGCTTTGCGGCTGGCACGCATCAAGATGGAGGCCGAGCAGAAGGATCGGGACCGCAGTGCCGAGCTCGAACTGCATATACGGAGGCTTGAGATCGAGGCTGACAAAGCTGTGCGCCTCAGACGCCTTGAGCTGGAGGCCGAAGGCCGCCTCCCCAGTCCTACTCAACGCCCGGGCGTCGCTGCACCTGCCACAGCCCTCTCCCCAGCTGTTCATGACTCTCTTGACGTGAGTAAAATGATACAAATTGTGCCTACATTTAGGGAGAGTGAGGTTGATTCGTATTTTTCTGCTTTTGAGAGAATCGCGATGGCGTTAAATTGGCCTCGTGAAGTTTGGCCTATCCTTGTGCAGTGTAAAGTGTACGGTAAAGCACAAGAGATAATCGCTGCGATGCCTCTCGCTGAGAGCCTGCAGTATGATGCAGTCAAGAGAGCAGTCTTACGCGCGTATGAGTTAGTGCCTGAGGCCTACAGACAGTCTTTTAGAAATCTCCGTAAAGCCCCGAGTCAAACGTGTGTTGAGTTCGCACGGGAAAAAGGAAATCTGTTTGACAAATGGTGTGCCTCTGCGAAGGCCCAAGATTTCGATTCTTTGCGTGAATTAATGTTGTTAGAAGACTTTAAGAACAACCTGCCTGCGCGTGTGGTTGTGTATTTGAATGAGCAAAAGGTTAAAACTATTTCTGAGGCTTCTGTGTTAGCAGATGAGTTTGTGTTGACTCATAAGAACTTTTCGTCATCTTCTGTTAATGAGACGCGTGTGTCTGTGCAGCCTGATCGTCCACGCTCTCCTGGAACCTCCACAAGGGACAGAGTCTGCTTCTACTGCCGCGAGCCCGGACACGTAATCGCAGACTGCCCTACTCTCAGACAAAAGGAAGAGTGTTCAGCTCCAAACGTTCAGAGCATTGGGTTAATTCAATCTGTAAGTCATAAGTCAGGACCCAATACTGTCCAAAATCACGGCTCCTGTTTTGAGCTTTTCATATCACAGGGCCTAGTATCACTGAATGGCGAAGCACCAGATCAACGCCCCATCCGTATCCTACGAGACACTGGCGGTTCCCAGAGCTTGATTTTGGCCAGTGCTCTCCCGTTTTCATACCGCTCTTACTGTGGTTACAGGAGTGTGTTACGGGGAGTTGAGATGGGCTACCGCCCGCGGCCCGTTCACTCTGTTCATGTCCAGTCAAACCTCGTTACAGGAAAGTTTCCGTTAGCTGTTGTCCCTGCGCTACCCATTGAAAATGTAGACATGATTTTATGTAATGATTTGGCAGGGGGCATGGTGTTTCCTCCCCTGTTGGAGGCGGTTCTGTCCCCGCTTGTGTGTGCCTCTGATCGTCAGATGCCCACGGGTTGTGCTGTGGCGCACACCCGTCCTCCAGAACAGTGCGGTTGTAGTCTGCCCGCCAGTCCAGTGAAACCACGAGTACCGCCGCACTTTACTCCACCCGCCACTTCTGTACGGAAGCACAAGGCTAGGGCCACCAGGCTTGGGTCAGGCGAGCGGCACTTTCAGCACCATGGAGAGCGTTTTGGCTCTCGCTCTGCAAGTTTCAGTTCGCGGCCTTGATCTGTGTGTTCCTTTGAGGGATTCGCCACGAGAGAGGCAAAGTCTGTGATTCTGTGTTCGGGTGAGTAATTCACAAATTTGCTCTGATTTTACTTTGAGATGGCTTGTATTTTAAGGGGGGGAGTGTTACGGCCGCTGGCGCTGGGCCGCGTCGTACACCCGCTTCCCTCCCTCCTGTGTTGTGCTGCTGTTCTGCTCAGGCTCCGCCCCGCTGCATGGTGCACCGGCTACGCACGCTGCCTCCCAGTTCTGCCTTCCGTTCGGAGATTGGGTCGCGCTTTCCACGTCTGGCCAATCCATCGCTGCGGCTAATCAGCACCAGCCTTGAAAACGAGTCTGCTCCTTCTGTGCGGGGCGGCTTGAATCAGTGTCTTGTCTGCCACCGTTCTGAGAGAACGTGTTGTCTGTGTGCGCTAAAGATTAAGCTTAAGGTTGCCTGTGTGGCTCTGTGCTTGTGTTTATTTGAGAACCCTGTGTTTTTGTGTGTTTTATTTGACTCTGACGCTGTCCAGTACAAACTGTTACCCCTTTTGCCTGTTTTATTAAAAGGCCATCTAATTTACCATTATTACATCCTTGGTTTTATGTTACTTCCCTCTTCCCCTACGAGCTCAACTGTAGGGTCGTAACAATTTCCTGAAAGCCCGAAATCGCTCAGGATTCAGGGCATTTTACTACTTTGCATATAATAGGAAGCTGTAAATGGCATGATAACAAAACCCTACTAAAAATAATAATCAAAAAATGGTTTGTTCCAATCAGTAAAAGACACTAATTTAGTCTAACTATATAACTCCAATATTATAATAATCTGCAATATAGGCCCACATGTTTCCAATGTCACTTTTAGCCCATACCCCATGCTGTTAGCACGTACAGTATTATCGTTACTGTGAATATTTGAACCTTCAGAACTAATAACTTACTACTCTAATAGTCATAGAGTGTACTACTGACTTATCTGACACATACAGTACAAGCATGTATTACTTGCACTAGAGGATGCAGTATTTTGTACGTCTTCTGTAGCTTCTTTATTTGGCTATACTGTAGATAGTGATTTTTGTCTTTTTTTAAAAATATAGAGTTGTAAAGCTTAATATTCACTTGTGTTGTGTGCTCCTCATTGATACTGTTCTTTAAGTTGTGATGCGACACTGAAATCGCCCTGCTGCGAGACAAAAGAGGGATCTCTTCATCGTAATAAAATTTGATTCATCATTGATTTACTGAAGATTCTATATTTCAAAATGTATTAAAAAAAGAAATAAAACCACACCATTCATATTAACACAAAAATCTGTCTAAAATGTTCCTTTTGGTGCTAAGTTAGGAGTTCCTGACAGCCTCATTTATTGTGTCCACCCTTGTGCGACCTATATTTCCTGTCTGGACATTTGTTTGATTTGTCACGTCACAGTTTTCCTCAGCTTCCTGACGACTTCCAAGTTATTTTCGATTCAATTCAAAAAATGCACCTTTGTCTGTCACACACAGTCTCACCGGGCTATTTATTTTGAATGAGGCTTGTTGTCGTTGGTCACACTATACTTACATTGTCCCCGATTGTAAAGTAGTCCCTCTTTAGACTCGGCTTGTGGTCAGTGGGTGAGATCCAGATTCAAGTTCAGGTTCGGTCAAACGGTGAAGATGCTCTCGGTGTAAGAAACATGAGACTTTGTAACTTCAACTCCTCTATATTTCATGAATAGTGTCAAATGTACGGAATACCTCACTGTAACTGTAGCGTAAAAATAGGTCAATCAAAAGCAAAACCTGATTTTACCCGATACCGTTGACCATTTCTCATATACATTTTTCTTTTATTTTTGGGTTGACGTTGCATGAGGGTTGCTGTAAATTTAATGAGGCTGTTTTTTGGAACAATGCCCTGGTATCTACTCTCCCATTGGCCGACAGGAAGTGTGTCATTCATTACCCTGGCCTCTCAGACCTCTCCAGACTCAGTCACAAAGACACAGCTCTATTTAAAGCACTTGTATTGTGAGGCTGTTTCAACATGTGTTATTTAATGTCCCCGTTGATTATTATCTACGAAAGCTACAAGGAGTCACTGTTAGGGCTGGAAAGATTTATAGTGATTTCTCTAGTCACCCCAGTAACCCAAGGAGCAAAGCTTATCAAAAATAACAAACAATAGAATATCCAGGATCTGATTGTACTGTTGTTAAAACTTTTCCGAACATTTTTGCAGCCCTAATTATGGTAATGCTGGCCCATATCTGTGCTGGGCCTTATTTATGTGGAATAGATTTGACACTAGCAAAAAAATAAAAAGGGCAAGAAGCATTGTAGTGACTCTTAGGGGTACATCGAGCCATCTTTTTAATATTCAATAACTATACTATGGCTTCTATGGCTTTTTTAGCTAGGCAAGGCAAGGCAAGTTTATTTGTATAGCACAATTCATACACAAGGCAACTCAAAGTGCTGAACAAAACAAGAAAGCATTAAAATCATAAATAATCACAGAACATTAAAAAGAAAGATAAAAGTATAAAATCCCTCAGTTGTATGCACAGCTAAACAGAACTGTTTTTAACCTGGTTTTAAACATTGTCAGAGAGGAGGCCTGTCTCACATCTTCAGGAAGATTATTCCAGATTTTAGCAGCATGAATCTGAAAAGCAGCCTCCCCATGTTTAGTTCTGACTCTGGGCACTAACAGGAGTCCAGTCCCTGTGCTCCTCAGAGTCTGGGCTGGTTCATATGGGACTAACATGTCACTAATATATTTTGGTGCGAGGCCATGGAGAGACTTGTACACAAGCAGAGCTGTTTTAAAGTCTATTCTCTGAGCCACAGGAAGCCAGTGCAGAGACCTGAGAACTGGACTAATGTGGTCGTACTTCCTGGTTCTAGTCAGGACTCGAGCTGCTGCATTTTGAATGTACTGCAGCTGTTTTACAGCCTGTTTGGACAGACCTGTGAGCAGGCCATTGCAGTAGTCTAACCTACTGGAGACAAATGCATGGATAAGAATCTCCAAGTCTGCTTTAGACACTATGTTTTTGATCCTGGCAATGTTTTTTAGATGGTAAAAAGCTGCTGATGTTACTGATTTGATGTGGCTATTAAAATTTAAGTCTGAGACCAGTATGACCCCTAGATTTCTGACCTTGTTTGAAGGTTTTAGGGAGAGAGACTGTAGGTGACAGATGTCGCTCTCTCTTTGTTTCTGGGAACCAAAGACAATCATTTCAGTTTTGTCTGCGTTTAGCTGAAGGAAGTTGTTTTGCATCCACTCACTGATCTGTTGGATACAGTGAAGGAGTGAGTCCACTGGTCCATGTTCTCCTGCAGTCAGTGAGACATAGATCTGAGTGTCGTCTGCATAGTTGTGATAGGAAACTTCGTTTCTGCGTTTCTGTTGTTGTTGCTGTAGCTGTTATCTGATATCAACCAATACCAAAAATGTGTATTGGTATCTGAAGAGCCTAAGCATACTTTAGTCTAATACTTACATGATTTTTATTCGTCCTTTATTTGTCCCACAGTGGGGAAATTTCAGTGTTGCATCACCATGGTTACAGGGCAGTAGGAATGATAAGCCCACAAGGTAAAAAATAAAAAATAACTCAATACTAAATAAAATGAAATATCTAACTTTAGCATCAAAAAGAAGCAATGATTATATTTATTCCTGAAGGCTGTGTACGAAATTTCCCTGTGCATGTGCAGTAGAATCGAGACAGTGATGGAACTAAAGATACATTTACATTCACTGTTTAGAACGGAGTCTTAGGATTTCTGTATTTTAACTACTACGATTATGTTTATTCTGTGTCTTAATCATATCGTGCATGTTATCGATACCTTTCATGTTCTTAGGCTTTCCAAATAGCAGAGGAGAAGTTGGGGATCCCAGCGCTGTTGGATGCAGAGGACATGGTGGCTTTGAGGGTCCCAGACAGACTCAGCATCCTGACGTATGTCTCGCAGTATTACAACTACTTCAGAGGACGACCTCCCAGTGAGTCTGTGTTCTTCTAAAATATGTTTTCTTTTTTTTGGTTAAATTATTGTGATTGTGAGCAGTGGAGAGATATATTAAACATATCTCACAGAGAATGAAATTATTTAAAAATGACAAAGAATAAGCAGGTTTTGAGATGTCCAGATAGAACTGTTGCAGGTTGAGTGTTCCAGAGTTAGGGAGCAGAGTGGCTGAATTCTCTGGCGCCCCATGGATGGATGTGGTCATACGGGATCCAAGTAATTCAAAACCTGTATTATGTAAAATCATCCTTGAGCGTTTAACCAACTTACAACATTGTTAACTTCATTAAAAACCTATTGATGCTAATAGCATTCGTTCAAACGCTCTCTTTTCAAACTGACAAATCCTGAGATTCATCATGGAAATTATAGTTTTCTTTCCTAAAACACACATAATTTTGCCTCAATAATATGATAAGATGAGAGAACCTTTATTCATCCCACAGTGGGGAAATTTCAGACGTAAAAACTATTTATACATTTCACGTTAAAAATGAAAACAGGTAATGAATCATATTTGTGATTTTGCCGAAAGTCCTGACTCTGGGCTACTCTATATTTACATTTTTCACATCTTCTCAGTGACTCACATAGACAGACGTTTTTCGCTTGGGCTGCTCTTCCGTTTTCGCCGAAATCACAAAGAACTGGCTTTAGCTTCTAACTGGCCACATAAACAGACTCGGCAATCTGTTACACACGTGCGGCTGGACAAAAGGGTCTTCGTCATTGGTGCTGCTTTGTTAGTAAGCCATGTACACCAAAAATGTTCTCACACATAACATTTTTAATTGGTGAAAATCTTTAAGACATGTTGGGTTTTTGAGTTTTTGGTGCAAGGAGGTCTTAGGACACTTCATAGACATGGGCGCTCTACACTACGGACCACTTATACTTGTGTGTTTTATTATTATTTGCAATTGTTCAACTGTTATTACTTCAATTTTTTTAAAACTGTTTTATTTTCTTATCTGTTGTTGGTGAATTGACCATTTCTGTGTGACGTCCACCGATGATGCTGTGATCTGGACTGAAGAAATAGCTAGATGTAGTTGTGTGAAATATCTTGCTTGCAGGTGGAGGTGTGAAGAGGCCAGCAGAGGGCTCCAAGGAAGAGCCGTCCAAAAGGAACCTCCCTGTTGTTGCCAAAAACTTTGTGTCAAAAAACTCTATTGAGAATCGGACTCCTGCGAAACACCCAGGTCCCACTTCTTCCAAGACCCCCAGCAATGATGCTCAGGTAAACCCAAGATGGAGGCGGTGAATTATGACTTACATACAGCTAATATTAATGTTTGTTTGGTTTTCTGTTGTAGAAGACGGTTCTGTCAGACAGTGCCAACAACAGCGGGACTCTGAACAGTAAATGTGTCGCCTGCAAAAGCCACGTGCACCTGGTCCAGAGGCACTTTGTGGAAGGAAGACTGTACCACCGGAGCTGTTTTAAGTAAGGATCAAGTCGTCTGTATCTGTTTCATGGATTCTGAAGGATTTTCCTCGGCTTTATTCATATTCAATGGCAATAATTTGACCTTTTGTTACCCGAAGAATGTTTCATACAATTCATATAAGTCGTTGAATAATTTCAGCTTAAAAATACCTAAATCTAAAATAATCTAAATTAAATGTTTATCCTTTTTTAAAACCTTTCAAGTTTAGCCATAGTGCTGCAGCCTTTGTGAAGCTGTATTATTATTATTTTTTCATACTTGTAAGTAAGATATCTGGGAGTCACTATTTGACACATTGGGCTGAGAGCTGATTGGCTGAGTGAGGGTGGTGCTCTCTTTTTCACTTTTTTGTCTGAAAAAGCAACAGAGGCTACAGATACAAGAATGCGAAACTAGAATCAAACTCTTAAGAGAACGGAAAACTGATTATATTCATTTTATTACAGTCAGTTTTGGCTTCAGATGACTGAAAGATTCTAATTATAAATGGCAACAATCTCCGCAAAGAATCTACCTCAAACACAATTCACACTTTTTTTTAGCGTTTTAGTACAAAGCTAGTTATTGGGCAGCATTTGTTTACTGTAAGTGAATATACATATAACTATATTAATATGTTTTAGTGAAAATGATCAGCAAATATGTTTTTTTGAAAGACACACCATGACATTTTAATATGGAGGTACATGAGGTGGGAGTTTATATGTTTTCTTCCCTCTCAAGCTGTTTCGAGGAATTTAACCTTTTTATCATAACTTAACCATAACTAATTAACTATGTATGTCATGTAGAGCTTGTATATAATTATGCTCAATCTATACAATCAGAAAAAATCAATAGATGAATAAAATGAATTGAAATACTCCAAATACTGGTGGATAGGTTGATATTCCACACTCCTCACTTCTCTCTTTGAATGGCTTGTTCCAGGTGCAGTGAATGCTCAGGTCTGCTGCACACAGGGGGCTACAGACCGGGGAAGGACCCTGGCTCTTTCATCTGTAAATCCCATCAGCCTGCTCAGCCTTCATCGCAGACTCCGACCAAAACCGGACCTGGCGTTTCAGCGGTTCGCCAAAAACCACCCACTCCTCCACGCCCCTCGTCTGTGCTCTGCTCTCCGCTCAAAGCTGGCCCAAAACCGTCCAGTCCAGCACCTGCTTCCACTGCCTCCACTCCGCCTCCACCACATGTGCCCTGGACTACGTCAGCTCAGAAGACACAAGCAGCAAGGGAGAGGTTTTTCCAAAGTCCCGGCAATGCGAATACAAAAACTTTTACGCCGTCTTCGTCAAGCCTCAGTAAAGCAATAGGAGCGGCCAGTTTTCCAAAAAGAGAAATGCCCTCAGTCAAGTCTGAAGAAGATAGAAGCCAAACTAAACCAGTGGTGGTGAGAAGACTGGCAGAGCAAAACTGTAACAATAACAACAAAAGACCATTTACAATAAGATCTGCAGATAGAAGGTAAGGACATGGTTTATTTGCATTTATTTATTTTGTAAGATGATGAGTTAAAACTGAGATACCTTAGTTTCAAACCAGATACAACAAACCCAACGTAATAAAATCTCTCTTTCACATCTTTAGAGAGAACAAAATGAAAAAAAGGACAATCCTCACTCAGCCCAAAGTGTCAAATAATGAGGCACAGGGCTTTTTTGTTTTTATGAGACAAAAAAAGTTAGGTAATCCAGCTTTAATATTTCCACTGGTAGACTTTTCTCCTTGTGGTTAGATGTACCAAATCCCTTTAACTAGAAAAACCTCCACCAATGCTAAAAAAAATCCTTTTCTAATGCTCTATTGATGTATCTATAATCGATTTATTGAAGATTATTTGTTATTAAAGTCAAAATATCCAATCAACATTTATATTTATATACAAATCTAAAACTGTTTTTTGTTATTACACCATTAGTTCAATACACTGGTCAAGAACAGTAGAAGAATAAGACATGAACAAAACATGATTATTAGTTATTAGAGAATGAAAAGAATGAACTCACTGTACAGCATAGAAGCATGTTATAAAAAGATAAATAATAAACATTCACACTCACGATAGGATTTTTAAAACTGCTGGAGGTGACATCTTATCCTCCATCCTCATAATTATATTCGTAGATTTACAATTCATACTATATTGTTTACTGGAGCTGTAACAGACACAATCGCTGTGACATTTACAGATGAATAATAATAGTAATATCAGTATCGCATCCAGCTCTCACCTTGCAGCAGGAAATGCCCATGCAGTCTATATGGAGCATTTCTATACAACTATATGGACATCTATAAGGTGAATTGTTGAATGATCACTCAGTGGTGTAGAGAGGCCAAAAATGTATGACTTGGTATTCCTTTTGGCCCCGCCCACTGTGTAACTATGACGACAGAATGTGCCTGCCCCACGCAATCATATTCAACCAATCAGGATGTATGTATATTTTGGTTTTTGTCTAAATTGTCCTTTCTGTCCTTCTTTACAACTTTTCTGTAATATTATGTGTCTTACTTTGGGATTTTGAAGTTTCAAATGTGAGATTTTAATTAACCTGACTTTGACCACAACCAATCATGAGTTTAAGAGAGAGGGTCCTGGGCTCTATGTAGTTATAAACATTGATCTGTGTGTGTTTGCATTTTCTCCCCGTGTCCAGAATGGGTGAAAAGTGCTTTGTTGAGATTATTGACTCAATTATTTACTTACATAGATTTGAAGATGAGCCAAGCCTCAGCGAAGACCCCAGTTTGAGACACAGGACAACAACACCAATATACAAGACCCCACACCCAGGACACCAACACTCAGCCGGGCCCTGGACCGTCTCGCTTGGTCCGGCTTCTACAAACACCCAGCATCCATCCAATCTGGAGTCTATTCACCAAAACGGCACCAGATCAACCGGCGCACACAGCGACGCCAAACGTGAGAGAAACTTCCACTCATTTCTGTTTGATTTGTGGTCTGACACTGAGCCAAAATCCACCGGCCGCTTTCTTTGTCTTTCTCAATCCCAGACGACAAAGCTCTTTTGTTGTCCGCTGCACATTTACACAGTTGGTGAATCTAGCCTGACGTTTCTGACATTCCCATTTCAGTCCCACTCTCCCTAATAAACTTTGGGAGCCGCACTGTCAGTCTCCCTGGACAGGTGCAAAATGATTCTGTAATTTTCATGTCACTTTGCAAATAGTATAATTGGGAAAGCAACTTTTTAAATAGAATTTCTTCATTTAGAAAAGTCCATTTGGGGATAGTTGGGCAGGTGTGAATAATGTTATCTCTAAATTGAGCCCGGGTTGTTATTGGATAATTAGAGAAACTTTCATGAAATTACAAGAAACGGAACAAACAAGAAGGTTTTGCTGATTATAAGTTAGAAATATGGAGACAGGAGAAAGAGAAATATGCAGTGATTTCAAGCAGAGATAGTTTGTTTTTTGTAGTTGTGGGCTGCACAGTGGCATGTCCTGGGTTCAATTCCACCTCAAGGTCTTTCTGTGTGAAGTTTGCATCTTATCCCTGTGTCTGCTTTGGTTTCCTCTGGGTGCTACCCCAAAATAATGTGCAATAATCCCCTGACTCCCTGACTATCTGGGGCCAAGACAAAGAGATTCTGAAATCACATTGTGAGTTTCTAGGTTAAGAAAAAGTCATCAGTTCAAAATGTCTAACCCAATGTTTATGGACAGAATTAGCAGAGAACTTCTGAACACACAGTCTCATCAATTTTATATGTGACCGATGAATCAGATGAAAAAAAAAATAATGAATATATGTATATAAGAAGAATATATTTGAAGTAATATCATGACAATGGGGAAATGTCAGTTTTGCATCGCACATTACAGACAGTGAGAACAAAGCACACAAAACAAGAGAAATATTTTTTGGGGAATATTTCTCAAACCTTTCCTATCCATGCAAACTAACTCCAGCTCATTCTGGTAAATCCTGAGGGGTTCCCAGGTCAGCGGAGAAGCCGTCCCGCTCCCGTCCCGGTGTGCTCAGGTTGTCGCCCAGATTTGAAAGAACAGCGACTCTAGTCCAAGCTCCTTCCGTACGACTGAGCTCCTCACCCTATCTCTATCCCAGCCACTCTGCAGAGGAAGCTCAGTCTTAATCACTCGTATCTATGATTTTGTTATTTTGATCAATTCCATCAGTGAGGGTTGGTAGATTGTTCATTGATTATAATTATTTTCTATTTTTTTTACTTTCAGATGACACACTGATTACATGATAGATAGTAGCCATGTTGAGACGTCACAATGTCTCAAGTCTATTTCCAGACTATTTACACATCTCCATAGAAAATCTCCATAGAACACCACAGTTTTATCACTTAAACATAAATGGAATTGGCAGGTATCAGATTCTAATTACTTTTCACAGTATTTCACAGTATTAATACAAATGTGTGAGTTGTTTGCGTTGAGGTGGTTAGCCCGGACAGCTGTGCAGGTGAGAATGAGCTGCTTTAGCGCTGTGTTGTGACAGACTGGATAATGAAGAGTCTCCACAGAACAAACAGCAGGTAATTGTGACATAAAGAGCCAGGGGACAGTGCTGTTTATTATTGCACTGGAGCTGCTGCTTAAAGGCACAGATACAAAGGATGACAGATGTGGATATCTTCACGATTTTTACTTTAAACACTATTTTTTTCTCATTCTTTCTTTTACAGCTGGCGATGGGCAAGTACAGACTAGACCTGTGGCATCTGAACCTGAGCTGAAGTAAGTTTGGATGAGTTTATTTTTGATACATACATTTATTATAAGAAGGCACTCAGAGACTCTTCACATCCATCCATCCATCCATTTTCTTCCACTTTATCCGTTGCCGGGTCGCGGGGGCAGCAGTCTAAGCAGAGACGCCCAGACTTCCCTATCCACACACACCTCCTCCAGCTCGTCCGGGGGGACCCCAAGGCGTTCCCAGGCCAGCTGAGAGACATAGTCCCTCCAGCGTGTCCTAGGTCTTCCGCGGGGCCTCCTCCCCAGGGAGGCGTCCAGGAGGCATCCTGAACAGATGCCCGAGCCACCTCAACTGGTTCCTCTCGACGTGGAAAAGCAGCGGCTCTACTCCGAGCTCCTCCCGTGTGACTGAGCTCCTCACCCTATCTCTAAGGGAGCGCCCAGCCACTCTGCGGAGGAAGCTCATTTCGACCGCTTGTATCCGCGATCTCGTTCTTTCGGTCATTACCCAAAGCTCATGACCATAGGTGAGGGAGGGAACGAAGATTGACCGGTAAATCAATCAATCAATCAATCAATCAAATTTTATTTATAAAGCGCTTTTCATACAAAAAGTGTAACACAAAGTGCTTTACAGTTTAGTTAAAAACAATCCAACATGCCCAGCCCTAAACCCTCCTCCCCACAGACCCCCCCCAAAACCACATTTAGAATTATATATACAACCACATGCGTATACACACACATATACACCCACACACACACACATACACACACACACAAGTATAAAGTCATATCAGGTAAAATAGGTAAAACAATAAAAGGAAATGGGGCTGGGAGCAGATGTAACCGGCTGAAGAAGCGTCATCCAAGGAGCCATCTGCACCAGGAGCAGAGAGCCGGCTGCAGCCACAGGGAACGACACAGGACCCAGAGGAGAGAGGGGCCCCAGACCCCACCAGGCCCAGGACTCAGACCCCATAGGACCCAGGGGAGAGATAGGCCCCAGACCCCCACTGGATCCAAGAACCAGACCCCCGAAGCCGCAGCAGACCCCAGCTCCCAGTGCAGAGGGCTCCTCCAGAGGAAACACTGGGGACACTAAAACAATACAATAATACAATAGAAAGTAGAACAATAAAAAGAAAAATAATAAAAATAAATAAACATAGAATGTGTCTAAAAACATAAATAGATGTACTAAAAAGCAATAATAAATAATAAATACTAATCAAAAGCTACTCTAAAAAGGTGCGTCTTGAGCCTACTCTTAAAAATATGAATGTTCTCTGCGGCCCTGAGCTCCTCCGGCAGACTGTTCCAGAGACGGGGGCCGTAGTGCTGGAAAGATGCCTCGCCGTGAGTGTGTGTCCTGACTTTGGGGATGGTTAGAAGTCTGCTGCCGGAGGAGCGCAGGGGCCGGGAAGGTTCATAGGATAAAAGCAAATCTGAAAGATAAGAAGGCCCAAGACCATTAAGACATTTAAAAACCATTAAAAGAACCTTAAAATCGATCCTGAAACACACGGGGAGCCAATGCAGCGATTTTAAAACCGGTGTAATGTGGTCCCGCCCCCTGGTCTTAGTCAGGACACGTGCGGCCGAGTTTTGAAGTAATTGTAAACCTGAAATGTTCTTTTTGGGAAGACCAGAGAGCAGGGCATTACAGTAGTCAATGCGACTGGTGATAAAAGCATGCATCAGCGTCTCCGTGTTGCCCCGAGAGAGAATGGGGCGGACTCTGGCGATGTTCTTTAAATGATAAAAACCTATTTTTGTGATATTCTTTATGTGAGGAATAAAAGTCAGCTCAGAGTCAAAGATTACGCCCAGGTTTCTCACTTGTGATGATGGATTAAAAGAGTGTGATTGGAGTTTCGGTAAAAGTTTCTCTCTCTGGGCCTCAGGACCGATGACTAAAACCTCAGTTTTGTCCTGGTTGAGCTGAAGAAAGTTTTCTGCCATCCAGGATACCAGGTCTAAAATGCAGTTAAAAAGAGCATCCATTGGCCTGGTGTCATCAGGAGACATGGAGATGTACAGCTGTGTATCATCTGCATAACTGTGGAAGTCAATTCCATGTCTCCTGATGACACCGCCAAGAGGGAGCATGTACAAGTTAAAAAGGACTGGACCTAAAATGGAACCCTGGGGCACACCACATGTGATTTTATGGACCTGAGAGGAGCAGGTATCCAAACTTACCATGAAGGATCTGTCTGTTAAATAAGAAGTGAACCATTTGTGGACAGCACCAGAGAGGCCGAGGTGTTTCAGGCGGGATAAAAGAATTGTGTGGTCTACTGTGTCGAAGGCAGCGCTAAGATCCAGTAGAACCAACACGGTTACCTTTTTAGAATCATAATTTAGTCTAAAATCATTTAAAATCTTTAAAAGAGCAGTCTCTGTGCTGTGGTTCACCCTAAATCCTGATTGAAATTTTTCTAAAATTTGCTGCTGATCTAAAAAGGCATTGAGCTGGGTAAAAACAAGTTTTTCTAAAATTTTGCTTAAAAATGGTAAGTTGGACACCGGTCTGTAGTTGTTAAAATCATTAAAATCCAAATTGCTCTTCTTCAGAAGGGGCCTCACCACAGCCGCTTTGAAGGCTGCAGGAAAGACCCCAGTCTGAAGAGAGCAATTCATCAGGTTTAAAAGCTCCTCTCTAAAAGATTCATAAAATGACTTAAAAAATGGAGTGGGGACTGGATCTAAAAGACATGTGGTGGGCCTCACTGAGGAGAAAACTTTATCAAGCATCTCAGCATCAACCAGGACAAAACTGTCCAGTGTTTCCTCTGGTGAAGACAAACAATCAGATGTGTTAAAAACAGTTGTGCGGTTGGGTAAAATGTTACATCTGATTGTATTTATCTTCCCCATGAAATGGACTGCAAAATCCTCACAGAGGGAGTCTGTGGGGGTTAAAAGAGACATGCTAAAACCAGGGTTTAAAATGGTGTCGATGGTTGAAAAGAGGATTTTTGGATTATTTTTGTTCTGGCTGACTAGTTTTGCAAAGTAATTGTTCCTGTTTTTCCTGATTGTGTTGTTGTACATTTGCTGTTGGTTTTTATATATTTCGTGATTGATTGTCGTTTTATTTTTCCTCCACCTTCGCTCTGCCACTCTGCACTCTCTTTTCATACTCCTTGCTTCCTCATTTTTCCAAGGGGCTATAGATTTTTGTTGAATGGTTACAATTTTTAATGGAGCAACCTGATCCAGTGTAGTTCTTAGTCTACTGTTAAAATCATTTGCTATAAAATCACAGGGGGCAGGTAAAACCAACTGAGGAGTGTTATTTAGAATGTCAATAAAATTTGCAGCCACTTCAGGGGTTAGACGTCGCTTCTTCACAGTTCTCACAGAGGTCTCCTGTTTAACAAAACCAGTGATCTTAAAAAACACACAATAGTGGTCAGAGATAGCCAGGTCAACAACAGAGGACACACCCGCACCCAGGCCATAAGTAATGACCAGGTCGAGGGTGTGCCCTCTGTTGTGCGTCGGCTGTGTGACATGTTGAGTAAAATCCATGTAATTTAAAATACTTACAAACTCGCAGGTAAAATGGTCTGATGGGTTGTCAAAGTGGATGTTAAAATCACCGGTTAAAACAATCCTATTATAGGAATTGTATAAAAAAGATAAAAACTCTGATAATTCATTGATAAAACGGCTGCACTTTTTTGGTGGCCGATAGATGGTTACTGCTAAAATTTCGGGGCTGCTAAAAACAAGGGCATGATACTCAAAACTTGAGTATTGGTTAAAATTAATGGTTTTGGTGGCCAGGGTGTTTTTCCATATTGAGGCTGTGCCACCACCTCTTCTTCCTTCTCTTGTTTTAAAAGCAAAGCTAAAATCGGGAGGGGAGGCCTCTGTGAGAACAGCCGGAGCATCCGGACCCAGCCAGGTCTCAGTTAAAAACATAGCATCCAGTTTGTGTTGTAAAATCAAATCATTAATGATAAAAGTTCTATTTAAAAGAGAGCGTACATTTAAAAGAGCAAACCTGATGGTGGATGGAGAGTCATTTTTGTTTGTAGTGAGGGGAGAAGATGATGTGGAGGAGCAAAGGGCAACAGGGATGAGGGTGTTGAGGGACGGTTTCCGGAGTATGGACGGTCTGTAGGGGCGGGGTCTGGACAGAACTGAAATTCCTTGCTGGGGGGGGGGCAGGGGCCGATGTTGGAGTCCAGAGGGGCAGGAATGATGTGGGATGGAGTGATGGGTTGTCAGAGGTGCGGGGGACGGGATTGGACTGAGTGGGTAATGTTTGAAATCAGGTACCGGGTGCCGAGTTTATTGATATGGAGTCCATCGGGTGTGAAGAAGGGGTGGCGGTTCCAGAACAAATTAAAATTGTCAATAAAACCAAAGTTGTGCTGCTGTGATGAGATTTGAAGCCAAGTGTTGAGTGATAGTATCCTGCTAAAACGTTCCACGCCCCGGTTCAACGTGGGCAGAGGGCCAGAGATAAAAACACTTTTTCCGGTTTTTGATAAAAGGTTAAAAAGGTCCTTAAAATGGAGTTTGGTGATTTCAGATTGGCGGAGTGCAGCATCATTTGTACCAACATGTATTATGATCCGGGTTATTGTGGGGGGTGCTGTCTGTAGAAGTGCGGGTAGTTTCGTGAGGATGGTGGGGACCGTGGCTCCGGGAAAGCAGTGCGTGATGGCATTGAAGAACTTACAGTGTTTGATGATAGAATCTCCCACCAGGAGTGTAGTTGGTGCAAACAGAGGCCGTGGAGGGGGGGCGTGTGACTGGAGTAGGGCCCGGGGGAGAGCAGGGGACAGGAGAGCGTTGGGATGCGCCCGGAGCAGAGCTGCCACAAGCCCCGTGAGCTGCAGTGGAGCAGGAGGAGGGAGCCGGAGACCGAACCGGCGCCCCTGCAGCGGGGTTGGTGGTGGTGGTGGTGCGAGCGGTGGGAGGGCCATGCACCGGGCGGAGAGGTCCTCCAGCAGGCGAGACAGCCTCCGCGGGTGAGCTCCGCGCTGACATAAAGCGCAGAGACCCCCCCGCGGGCGAGGCAGCAACTACGGGAGGACTCTGCGCCGTGCCACGGCGCAGGGACCCCCCCGCGAGCGATGCAGCGTCTACGGGAGGACTCCACGCCGTGTCAGGGCGCAGAGGTCCCCCCGCGGCCACCTCAGCGTAGGACCTGCTTTGTGTCTCGCCTCTGGGGATTCCCCCCGCGTCCGAGCACACGGACCCTCCCACTGCAGGGACAGCGCTCCCGGGGGTATCCGGCGCCGCGTTGGGGCACAGAGATCCCCCCGGGGCTTCCCGCAGTTGGTCCTGCGTGACACCCGGAGAGCCCCGCGCTGTTTTAGAGCGTGGGAAGCTCCCCGAGCGTCTGCGCACAGCCTCCTCCACCAACCTGTGGCGAGAGGACGCTGTGGATGTCGTGTGGCCTCCAGGCCTCTGCTCCACGCCGCTCTGGGTATGGGCAGCGGGCTCCGGGACTGAAGAGGAGGGAAGAGCACCAAGAGGGACAGGAGGAACAGCTGCCTTTCGGCTCAGCTCCCTCTTCACCACGACGGTCACGCTCCAATCTTCCCTCACTCGTGAACAAGACCCCGAGATACTTGGACTCCTCCACTTGAGGAAGGACCTCTCCACCCACCTGCAGAGGGCAAGGCACCTTTTTCCGGTCGAGCACCATGGCCTCGGATTTGGAGGTGCTGATTCTCATCCCAGCCGCTTCACACTCGGCTGCAAACCGCCCCAGTGCATGCTGCAGGTCCTGGTTCGTTGGAGCCAACAGGACAACATCATCCGCAAACAGCAGAGATGAAATCCTGTGGTCTCCGAACCGGACCCCCTCCGACCTCTGGCTGCGCCTAGATATTCTGTCCATAAATACAGTGAACAGAACCAGTGACAAAGGGCAGCCCTGTCGGAGGCCAACATTCACCGGGAACAGGTCTGACTTACTGCCGGCAATGCGAACACAGCTCTGGCTCCGGTCATACAGGGATCGGATAGCCCTCAGCAGAGGACCTCCGACCCTGTACTCCCGGAGAACCCCCCAAAGGACACAGTCGAACGCCTTCTCCAAATCCACAAAGCACATGTGGACAGGTTGGGCGAACTCCCATGAACCCTGGATTATCCGATGGAGAGTATAGAGCTGGTCCAGTGTTCCGCGACCGGGGACTTCTTCTTCAGCCTGACAGCATCCCTTACTGCCGGTGTCCACCACCGGGTTCGGTGGTTGCCGCCGGGACCAGCACCAGAGACCTTGCGACCACAGCTACGAGCCGCCGCATCGGCGATTGAGGCAGAGAACATGGTCCACTCGGACTCCATGTCCCCCTCCTCCGCCGGGACCCGGGAGAAACTCTCCCGGAGGTGTGAGTTGAAAGTCCGTCTGACAGGGGGCTCAGCGAGACGTTCCCAGCAGACCCTCACTATACGCTTGGGTCTGCCAGGTCTGACCGGCTTCTTCCCCTGCCAGCGGATCCAACTCACGACCAGGTGATGATCGGTTGACAGCTCCGCCCCTCTCTTTACCCGAGTGTCCGAGACACGCGGTCGAAGGTCAGATGATACGACAACAAAGTCGATCATCGACCTCCGGCCTAGGGTGTCCTGGTGCCACGTGCACTGGTGGACACCCTTGTGCTCGAACATGGTGTTCGTGATGGACAAACTGTGACTGGCACAGAAGTCCAACAACTGAACACCGCTCGGGTTCAGATCAGGGGGGCCGCTCTTCCCGATCACCCCTCTCCAAGTGTCACTGGCGTTTCCCACATGGGCGTTGAAGTCCCACAGGAGAATAACGGAGTCCCCGGGCGGTGGACTGTCCAGTACCCCTCCCAAGGACTCCAAGAAGGCCGGGTACTCTGCACTGCTGTTAGGCCCGTAGGCCGTCACAACAATGAGAGACTTGTCCCCCACCCGGAGGCGGAGGGACGCGACCCTCTCCTTCACCGGGGAGAACTCCAACACGTGGTGGCTGAGATGGGGGGCAATGAGAATGGCCACCCCAGCTCGCCGCCTCTCCCCGCGGGAAACTCCAGAAAAGTGGAGCGTCCAACCCCTCTCAAGGAGTTGGGTTCCAGAGCCCAAGCTGTGTGTGGAGCTGAGGCCGACTATCTCTAGTCGGTATCGCTCAACCTCCCCCACAAGCTCGGGCTCCTTCCCCCCCAGTGAGGTGACGTTCCACGTCCCAAGAGCCAGCTGTTGTGTGTGCGGACTGGGTCGCCGAGGTCTCCGCCTTCGACCGCTGCCCAGTCCTCTCTGCACCGCTTCGCCACCACGGACCCCTCTGTGGGTGGTGGGCCCACAGGAGGGACTGCCCACGTCGTCCATTCGGGCTGAGCCCGGCCGGGCCCCGTGGGCTAAGGCCCGGCCACCAGGCGCTCGCATACGAGCCCCGACCCCAGGCCTGGCTCCAGGGTGGGGCCCCGGCTGCGCCATGCCGGGCGACGTCACTGATCTCATATCTGTGCTGTCCATGGTGTCTTCTGGACTGCTCTTTGTCTGACTCGTCACCTGAGACCTGTCTGCCATGGAAGGCCCTACCAGGGGCATGAAGCCCCAGACAGCATAGCTCCCAGCTCCCAGCTCACATGTCATTATTCATTCACTCCATACATGGTGGTGATAAACTAACAGTGTAACCACAGCTGCCCTGGGGAACACTGACAGAAGCGAGGAAACCACTATGTGCCAATCAGCCATTTGGACCCCGATCAACCATTCTCAAACACACCCAGACTCATTCTAGGTAATTTGGGTGAAGTGTCTTGCCGAAGGACACAACAGCAGTTTGGCTATTTACAGCCGCAGCCGCCCTACTGTGGCATAATGTGTTCCTAGAGGTCTTTCATCACAGAACTAACCAGGCCCTGCCCTGCTTAGCTTCACAGGTCTGATGGGATCTGGCTTTCACATGCAAGTACAGTATGGCTAGGACAAGCATTTAGGCTTCATAACCTCAATCTTTAATGGATTCTTATGGATCCAACCACGACGGTCGCAGATTAAATTTCACATTGGTACAACTACACACAGACGTTGTTGTCCAAAAATATGACACCATTCAATTCCCCCCATAACTGTAGCCATGTTCAAAATGTGGAGACTATACCTCCTCTGTCTTTAATGAACAGGGAGGTTTCTTTTCTTAGTCTGGCTCATGAATGGGATACAGTCTATATTAACTTAATAATAGTGTTTCATTGTTATTATCCTCTCTTCATTTTTCATTCAGAGGTGCTTTTGCTCTTCCTGAACACACCGCTCTCATATCCGCTGCTCCGGATCTCTGCGTCCCAGTAAATAGAGTCCCATCGCCCCCAGTGCCCCCCTCTGCTCTCGCCCCTGCTCCTGCCCCTGCTCCTGCCCCACTGAGGACTGTGAGCTCTCCTCTGTTCATCCCTGCTGCTGTCTCTGCACATAGACCAGCAACTACATCTGCAAACCTGGGTGAGTGTATGAATATTATTAGAAATATTTAAATGCTAATATTGTTAACAATTGTTATAATATTACTAATGATCACACATGTACAAACCTCAGACAGAAAAACAAGTGGAGTCAGCATACCACTATAACTGTTACGTTATCTTCTTACCTCTTATTTTCAAAGTATGCAACAATAAATTTTCACACATTAAAAATTATTTAAAAAAATCGTATGAAATGTAATCATTGGGAAACCTCAGAAAATGATTCTGTCGTTATATGCCATGCTGTAAAAGCTCTGTCTGGGACGATTTTTTCATTCAGTTAACACTATTGATTTAAGGATAAGTACAAGATTTAAGTTTGCTTTTTTACTTTTGCAGAACATTGTTGAATCCTTTCCTGAATTCACAAACTCAAGTGTTAATCAATAAGCATAATAATACTATATTTACTCTATATATTCATAATTTAATTACTACTGGATTGACCACTGTGGCACCTGGTGATTCCATAGGTCTCCCATCACAGTACTGACCAGGCCATTCCCTGTTTAGCTTCTGATACCTGACTAGATCAAGCTTTGGATACGTGACAGGTTTTTTATACTTTCACAGAGAAGATTTAAATTGCATGTTTCTCCCTTCCATTGATCAAAATATAACAGATTTTTTTATTTATAATACTATAGAAAATGAGCCAATTAAGTCACTACATAAAGCTAATTTTTACTTAATTTTACTGTATATTTTTTTTCAGATTATGACTTTTAATTTAAAAACAAATAAATGAAAATGGTTCACAGGTTGTATTTGAAACCAGTCCCTCAAAGTCGTTACAATATTATCATTTATCACAATGCATCAATCCAATATCAATATACCGGCCATCCAAATGAATATCGTACCACGTCCATGAGCAATAAGATAAATAGATAACTTAACTTGTTTGTCTAACATTTACTTTAAACTGGGATCCACAGCCTGAATGTCTTGCGGTTTCTATTTTAGGAGTAAAACTGGGGAACTACCCGGCTGTGAAATCCCCACCCAGACGCCCAGCTGTGGATTCTATTAACTCCGCAGCTCAAACCAATCATGGAAATCCTTCAGGTCGTTCTCCACTTTTTTTTTTTTTTTTTTTTATTCAAATGTCATCATCACGCAGACATTTTGTTGGTGTAGCTCGAGCGCTCATTCCCAGTGTTGAAAGAAATCAGATGAAATCATATTTGAGAATGATTTTTAGGAAAGCCTGGGTAAAATGTCTATCTAATCCTGTTCTATCTACCTCTTAGGTGCTAAAAAAGGAAAGTATTTCTCATGCAGCACCGCCTCCGAGACCGAAATGAGGTCACCGCCTGTAAGTTCTCACCATTAAGACTCTTATGTGATTAATTAGCAGCTCGATAAATACACTTTCATTACAGCGATGGCCTTCTTTACCTTTTAACTGAGCCTGTTTGCTTGAATAATATTATTATACATGTAAGCTCTATTGATAGCAGTTATGGGAAAAAGGGAAAACAGAATGATTGTTGAAAGAACATGTCCAATTACAGATATCATATTGTAGCTACGCATTGTGTAAAGGTATTTGATGTATATATATAAAAAATAACAATCTGAATTTTTGTCTTTTTATTATAATGGTAATAATATAGTACATATAGACATAGCTCTTGTCATGAGAAAGCTTCTTATGGCATTATTCATTCTGCAACTAATCTGTGCCATCGGCCCCTCTGATCACCTTCACAGCCGCAGCCGCCCCACTGTGGCACCGGGTGAATCCTTAGGTCTCCCATTACAGCACTAACCAGGCCCTTCCCTGTTTAGCTTCTGATACCTGTCAAGATCAAGCTTTGGGTACACAACAAGTTTTTTTTATAGTTTTACAAAGATTAAAATTGCATCTAATCTAGAGCAGAGATCGGGACATATTTCTTTCATCTTTAAAGTGGACTCCAGGGATTTTATTTCTATCATTGAATTTCCCACCAAAGCACTGATCAGGCTTTGGATATGTTCAAAGTGAATAAATGCAAGTTGAAATGTATACATACACATATAAACTGTGTGTTTGTGTGGCAGATGTCGTGTTGGGCCGTGCGTCTGCAGCAGGTGGACAAGGAGCTGGTGGAAGTGGAGACTCGCATGGTTCAGCTGGAGAAGGACGGAGTGGAGCTGGAGAAGAGGCTGCGTCGCTGTGAAGAAGGTTTCCTACATTTTTACACAAAACAGTAACATTAAATTCAGATCAGAGATTGAGACATGTTTGTTTCTCCCATTCCTCTCAAAATAGAAGCTCACATTTGATTGAATTTGGTGTTTTCTGTGAGCAAACATGAGCATGAGGGAAATAGATGTATACAAAAGAATGAGTTATCTGTACATGAAGTAGAAGTGACAGAAAAGTTGAATGGAAGACCTTAGCTGTAGAGCAGGGGTCTCCAACCTGTGGCTTACGAGCTGCAAGTAGCTTACTACCCCTTTCAGGTAGCTCCCCAAAGGATTCCAGAATTTAACACATGATACACTTTTGAATCATCTGTTTGAACTATAAATATTTTCAGTGATTTCGGGATACTGTTCTGTATAATATTATGCATGTGTGTTCTCCATCTTTGGCTGTAGTTATTAAATCGACTTGTATAATGACTGCTAAAAAGAGTAGCTCTCTGCCATTTCTGTTTTTATAAAAATAGCTCTCCAATGGAAATACATTTGGAGACCCCTGCTGTTGTGTCTACACGGGCCTGCATCAAATTGTGTATTATTTCTGTATAATTAGTGTAAAGTCTCTAAAAATAAATAGTCTCTTGTAATATTTCTACGATGTGCATAAACCCCAAATCCCCAAATAAATAAAGATTTAGCCAAACTAGACATTCGCAACGTCAACACAGCAACAGATAGTGACCGGATGAATGCAACACCTGTGATTTCAATGGTTTTGTTAAGTCCTCTGAGATGACTTCTGTTGTGACCTAAGGCTATACAAGAATAGGGGGGGGGGCAGTGTTCAGAAGTCAGGCTGTTGGACCTGAGGGCAGCAGGTAGAACAGAATACTCTCTAAAAATAGAAAAAAAAAGTCAATAGATACAATTGTCACAGACCTATGCAAACAATATATCGCTATATTCTGGATAAGAAATAAGAAGTTGCTTTTGGCCATTTTGCCATAGAATGAATATACAAGTCGTTTTTGGCTCGCATCTATGGAGATTCATTTAGACATTAAACTGATTTATTCCCTATTATTTATGACGCAGCTATAGGCCATATGTTACAGGTCAAATTTGTAACACAGGAATCCATAATTTCCTCATTTCTTTCGCAATAGACCCAAATGTAATTGTATAAATGCAAAAATAGAAAAGTTTAATTCCCAATAGTACAACATATCATCTGATCAGTTCCAAGATTCAAAAACTATGTACAGAGTAGGCTTCAAATAAAGAATAAAGGAAAACAGCCCGGCCCACTTTATGATCAGTGTATTTTACCACACTCTTTTGTCTAAATTGCGATATTGTCCATAACTACTTTGTTCTTGTGGCTCAGTTGGTTCTGAATCCCCCAGTACCAAATCATGCAGATATGATATAACATGTATTCTCACCACACAGGATGTCATCTGTTTCTCTGCTGGAGCTCAGAGTTTTGTTTTGGTTGTATCTGCAGCAGGTGGACTTTAGAACCGGAAGATTTAGGAGCATTATTTTGTATTATTAATACTGTTAATATTATTATTTCCCAGAAAACCACTGGTCCTAATTCAATTCATGATTCATGTTTTTATAGTGGATGTTCAAAGTTCAAAGTTTTAAAATTCCCATTCATCAGAAGCATTTACAATACAAGATATTACTAGGAAAAAAATACATAGTTTGCTCTACAGTAAGTAAGTAGCGTTCATTATGAGTGTATTTTAAGTTGCCTTAATGAAGACCAGAGAGGGGTCAACACACGTCGCTATAGGTCCGTTCCACAATAAAAGATTTTTAGGTGAAGTCAGAGTGCGTTGGTTGGACCTTTTCCTCTTGCTTTCTATATTTTAACTGTTGTAATAAATATTTGCCAGTGGAAAGAGCATTAAAATGTCATTGTTTACCTAAAATAAGAATTTGCCGATTGGAAATAACAATAAACTCACTTATAATTTCTTAATACTATTTAAACATTTCTGAAGTGTTACATATATTCCTAACCTGTTTAGCGTGAGAAGATTTTCAAATATTATAGAGTGATAATAATAATATATCTCTAAAGCAAATTATTCAGCAAAATAATCCGTTTTCACAATTTGCTAAAGCGGCCATTCAAACTGCAATTTTCAGTCTATTTTTGATACTTATTCCAGCTTTAGCAGACTCTTTATTGTGTTGTAAAGGCCTAAAAACCTGGAGTGATTGATGAGTTGTTATTGGGAAGTCACTAATTGGCATCGACAATCAATCCGCCTACGCAGACCTTTACTCTGAACCGGTCGAGGAAAGTGACAACAACGCCGTCCTGGGACCAAACTGTGTGCGTTTACATTCGACAATGCCTAAACTAAGCTACTACAGCGTAAATCTAGTGTGTTTTGTATCAATATTAGCAGCTAGAACTGTAAAAAAAATAAATGTCTTCATCATTACACACATACTTCATTAATCGGTCTTTAATGTACTGTATGGGGAAATAATAATATACTGTGAAACGTATTTAGTTTGGTTCTCTTTGGTGTCCATGCTCACATCAGTGTGTATATTTTTTAGGTTAGAGATTGAAAATTCAACAAGGATGTCTTTATCCAACTCACTATATTGCCCACATTGTCATAATTATTCAACTCTATTACAGAGATAAGGTCCAGATAAAACATATTAGGAATACACTGACTCATGATGCGGCAAAAATTTATTTGGAGGCAATGATAATTCCACATATTAATTACTGTATTTCTTGTTGGTCACAGACGAGTGACACAACAATAAAACCTCTAAAATCTCTATATAATCAAGCTATTAAAGTGCTAGACATAAAGCCATTGAGATACCATCACTGTCTGATCCTTAGAAAATACAGCATGTTTAACTTTGATAATTTAATTGTGTACGCAAATGTACGATTAGTTTTTAAAATTTTGAATAATACTGCACCTCCACCGCTGAAAACATTTGTCCAGCTCTGTTCTGAGCAGATGACTAGGAGCTCCAGGTCTACAAGTCGTAATGACTGTAGACTGCCTAAACGTAGCTCAGCCTTTGCGCAGACATCCTTCTCATTCAAAGGCATCAAAGAATGGAACAAACTCCCACAGAGTCTGAAACTTTCCTTAGACCTGAAAGATTTCTCTCGTAATACAAAAAAAGTGCTGTTGGTGAACCAGTCATGTCAGCACTGATAACTGTAAATGTAAATATGACCGTTAGTGATGTTTTATGTAGTAATTTTAGCATGAATTTATGTGGACTGATGGATGTAACGGGTGAATGTATGAATGAATATTTATATTTGAGTGGTTAAATATATTTTATATTGTACATGTTGTGACTCACCTGCTCAGGGACTGCAGATGGAAACTAGCTCAAGCTAAATCTGGTGCAAAGCATCTTTAATTAATGTATTTGCACATTGTCCCTGTTGAAATAAATTAATAAACTAAAAAAAACTAAAAAAGCCGTCACCAAATAAACTATATATTTACAGCAGACTACACTGTACCAGCGACGCCACACTTTAGACTGATCATCATTTCATCATCATAGGTCACATATGTCATGGGATGATCAAAATGGTGTTAAAACATGATGTCCTAAATATTTAGCTTGACTTTCAATTTGTATACTACTTGTAAATAGCAAGATTGATGTGTATGCAATTTAAAGAGGCTATACTTAGACGTTAAAGCAGGGGGAACTAACATTGAACTATTTCCTTGGTCTCAAAACACTTTACAGCATAACATCTGCTTTTATCAAATATAAAAGTGAAGAAAGAGAAGCAGTCTCACTCAACCAACCAGCTCTCAGCCCAAAGTGTCAAATAGTGACTCGCAGGGCTCTTTCTTGGTAACATGAAACATAAGATGAAGACAGCATGTTGTGGTCTAGATTTTTTGTTTCCGTTGGGACAAACCAAATGTACTTTTTATGCAATTTTCAGCCAGGTACATCAACTTTAATTGAGTGTTTTTTTCATAATTTCTTTAAGCTTTGACTATTACCAACATAGCACTTTAGCACATTTTGCACATGTTCAACTGTTGCAATCGTATTTATGATTCACATCGTTTCTCTTTTATATTATCCCTTGTTACTTACGCGTTGTTACTTACGTGGCAATAAAAATGATTCTGATTCTAATATCGTTATCATTCCAGAGGGAAGAGAAGACATCTTGATGGACCCTCTCATGGTCGACTGGTTCAACCTCATCCGGGAGAAGCAGATGTACATTAGAAAGGAGTCAGAGCTGGTTTACATGTCAGTCCATTTTACTCTTAGTAGTTTGTATTAGTTTGCTTCTGTCACCCGCTGTTGAGGCTTGTTGCACGCTAATGTGTCGCTCTGTCATTTCATCTGTGGTTGTGGATGACTTCAGAGCTCGGACGCTGGAGCTGGAGCGGCAGCAGCCAGGAGTCGAAGGAGAACTGCGCAGATTACTGGAAAAACCTGGTAAGACTTCACATAATCTCTCTTCAATTTTATTTCATGTTGGTTTGATGCAGTGATGCAAGTGGCTGTGGTTTTGTTAGTGGTTCCCAAAGCTGTATTCGCACTTTTATCCATCATGGTTTGACTCAGTTTGGCCCAGGTGGTTGGTGAAATTAGTTCTCAATGTTGCATATGCATAGTACGGAATAGTAGAAATGAAAGAAAGCAGCGCTGGATTAAGATAAACTAAATGAAAAACTGTAAAAACACACACAAAAAACTGCTTAAAAATAGCACTCGATAAGCAGTTGGGGTTTCAGAGTAATATATACAGTGAGGTTTATGTATTAGCAGCATTGACGACTAGGATAGAATTAATAACAAGTCTCACACACATTGCATTTAATTATTATGTCCTTGTCTTTCACTGAATTTGAAGATCCAGATGTTCCTTTTGGAGTAGAATTTTAGACTCACTAATATTGTCACTAGTATTATACAGAGAAATGTACTTCTTGTATGACATCTGCAAATATTTTACAGGAACTATTTGGCAACTTTTGTAACTTACATTGTGCAATTCTCCATTGTGTGATCAATAAAGTTTATCTCATCTAATCTTGCGTCACTGGTTATAGCACGGTACTACCTGAGAATTGATTTATTGATAATCATTATTTGATAGGGACAAGTGTACGTAATCAAGTACAATGTGAGACACTACAACATTTATAGCCAAGTCTAATTTTCAATGTCAGTCCCTAGAAAGGCTTTTAACACTTTTAACACACATAATAATTGATTTATTATAGAGTTGGTTGTTTTTCTAACCTACTATACATGTAGTCCTTGCGTCACCATACTTTCAGAATCCTTGTTTAGTCCCACTTTAGGCCTGGGAACTAAAGCTTTAATACCCAACTATTTTTTTGATTTTATTTTGTTTGCCCCAACAGAAATCTCTCTTTTAAGTCAAATGTTGCTAACCAATCAGACCACTATATGTTATCTTTGTCTTATTATAAAATATGTTTACGGTATGTTTTTCACTTTTCCATAGTGAGAGCTGAGAGAGCGCTGGTACAAGCAAGTTCACTGAAAAATAGAGAGAACCAAGCAGTTTTGAGAGCTTGGAGCTATACTTATACATATATTTTATTACATTGTTAATTTTCTTGTCTTTTCAAACTTATAGATGCTCCAGCTTTAAGTCCTCATGTCTTTCTCTCTTGTTTTCTCAGAGCATTTGAAGTCGCACCAGGAGCGGCAGCGTGAACAGCAGCTGATGCAGAAGCTGGTAGAAATCGTAAATGGGAGAAACGCCATCGTGGAGGGTTTGGACGAAGACAGACGCAGGTGAAAACGTCGCAGTAAAACGTATTAAATAAAAGTATACAGAGATATGAAGCATTGTTGTCGTAATCAGGGAGTTCGAGGAGGACCAGCAGTTGAACGAAATGATGAAAAGCCTGGGTGAGTATTGTGCGAAATTAATTGGTTTCAGGCCAGACTTTTCACTTTTGCATTTCAATATTTAAGATATACGTGTTATTATTATTTCCACCGTGTAGGACTGAAGAAAGCCAAGACTAAAAGGAAGTCTTCCATCTCCAAAATGTTCAGGCGAAGAAGTAAAAGGCGAGTGGAATGAACGATACATATGCAGTATTTTCTAATTTACCGAGACGATGGGAATTATCTGAGCTGACTTTGACAAAAAGAATAATTGTATGTGTCTGACTAATAATAATGTATATTTTTGCTCAATTTATGAATGTCTTTTCAGAGGAAATTTGTATCTGTATGAAGTTAGTGTGTTGGTGGCAATACAAGAATGTTTATGTGAAATGTACTTTTTATAGCAAATAATCCCCAAAGTTACTTAAACATAAGGTTCAAAAGAAAGGATGCGTTTGTGGTATTTATTTGCAATCAAATGAAAGAGCCTTGATTTGAAATGTTTAGAATTATATCTGTGTTCTGCGTTGTGTTTTAATTTTCTGCCCATACATAAAACACTAACTTTAAAAAACTATTAAGAGAAAAGGTTGATAACATTTTATCAAAGTTGCATAAAGTAGCCTGTATTAAGAATATACACATACTGTAACTTTAAATTTTAACAACAAAAGCAGAAAGTACCTTCTTATTCTTAATTTATAAACTATATAACAACATAAAGATACATTATGTTAAAGAAGGTATTCAGGGTTAGGATTATACAAATAACAAAATGAATACAAAAATCCCATCTCTATAACTATCAAGATGAAGAGATCCTTTATTCGTTCCACAGTGGAGAAATTTCAGAGTTGCATTACCCGTTGCAGAACAGTAGGAATGGCCACACAGTACTCTATGTTCTATACTTAACTCTATACTAAATAACTCAATACTAAACTCTCTACGAAATAAAATCTCTAGTTTAGGGAGCTATAGAAAGCAGTCTATAATCTAGAAGAAGAAGCAAGAATTAAGTACAGTAACAATTAATATGAATACATACAATAGTATTCTTGATGTGCTATTTCAGATACATGTAGTAATACTTCTGTGTCCTTAAAACCTCCTTAGATGATGGAATAGTATCTAATATTGTGGTGTCAGCTCAGGTCTCCGGTCCCTGCTGCTGCTGCTGCTGCTGCTGCTGCTGCTTCTGTCTCCTTGTGTACTGTAGGTGGCAGCCTGGCTATGCTCTATCTCACGGCTCCCCACCAAACTTGAAAATCCAATTTGCCACACTACAGACAGTTAATTTCTTTGCTAATTTTATAAATGCTGCAGAAATGTTGGCCTGCACTGCTGCAATAACGTAATGTGAAAGAGGATTAGGTCGGGCGCTAGCTTTTGGCCCGGGAAAGGCTTATTTAAACTATAGGTCTGTATTGAGCTTGTTATCTTCAAACCAGGTTTAATTAACATTACTCCTTTTGCTAATATCTGCATCAAGACGCCTCTCCTACCTGAGCTATTAAAACGGGCCTATACAGCTCTGTAATGTTGTATTTGAATGATATATTTATAGTATTCTTAACTTGTTGTCCATTAAAACCCTTTGAAGATTAGCTGTGTAAGAGAGCCTGAATTACTTCCTTAATAGCTGCTTCTTTGGGGCCCACATCTTTGCATTAAAAAAAAAATATCCGTGAACTTTTCCTCATCCCACGAGCTTCATAATAGTGTGCGAATGCGAGAGACCCACTTTGAGTAACAAATCAACAATACCTCTTAAAGCTGATCAGAACGGCATGAACGCTGCTTTTAATAAGGGCTTTTAAGGACCGATTCAATGAGGCCTATGTGCGATTTTGTGCATATCCCTCAAACTTGGATATTTCAACTTGTGTAGAGCTAATTTATAGGCAATTCAACTTTGCATATCAATTCAAGTTTCCTTTGAAAACATTCCTTCATTTAAATGTATTTTTTCTTTAGTAATGCTGCAAAAATCATTGTTGTTTGTCTTCTGTTGATTCGAGTTCCTATCTTTTCGGGGACTTTGTCTGGACTACTCCATAGTGTGGCGCTAAATACAAGCTTGCAATTGAATCAGTTTGGGCTAATTTAGTGCAAAAATACCTGACGAATACATTTACTGCCTTACTGTGGACCCTTGTGCTATCCCTGCGTCAAATTGACCCAAAATAATTGTTTTTCGAGCTGAATTTTGATCGCTTTCAGACCCTAATTTAGAGTATTTTTCTTCTACTTGTAATCGGCGGATGATTTTAAAGCAAGGGTAGCACAATTATAGGCCTTAAATGTAGGGCTCCTAACTTTTATTCCTACAACATAACCCATGTTGTTTGTACCATCAGAAAGAGTCTAAAATGTGGTCCGATTTTGTTCTGACCACAAATCGCACCACTCCATGCTGTGTCTTCCTCTTATTAGAAACATGATAAATCCTTTTTTGACCTTTTAGGACTGAGAACTGATTGGCTGAGTGAGTGCTTGGCGTTTTCACTTTTTTGTCTGAAAAAGCGGATCTAAAGATGTGACAGAGGCCAAAAACACATGAGTGATAAAACTAGAACCCGACCGTTTTAAGAGATTTCGATAGATTTTATTACATGGATTATTACATGATTACCCCAGCTTGAAGAGGAAACTCCCTAAAAACATATGGAGTTTTAAGAAATAGACGTTTTGATAGACAGTCAATAGCTAGGAAAACTGGACTCACAAATACAAATTATTAGCTTTTCATAGAGTTTCTTCATTGACAGTTGACAGTTGAGACATCATGATAACACGGCATTATCAGTCAATGTATGTTTTTATATCGTGGGAGATTAATACCCGCTAAACTACAAAACCTCGTCGCTACGTTTAGAATTAATCTCTAAAATTCTGCGTGTACTGCATTCGAAATCACTTTGAGCCCAAACTATAAACGAACGTACTTTTGCATAATATCCCAATTTACCACCGCCTAATACCGCAAGTGATCAAAAACACATCAATGTATGTTTTTAATAGGAGCTTTTAAGGACTCATCCAGCGCTGTCAATATACAGTACATCAGTTTGAAATGCGTAAAATTGTAACGATAAACTTCTCTTAGTCTGGGAGGGTGTTGGTGCTGAAAAATGCCATGCGTGATGACAGTTCTAGACTCAATGTGTGATATTAGAGTTAATTAAAGCTTTGCGGCCCATCTCCTGCAAAGGCTCACACTTGTGCAATTAAGAATCAAAGGCGAGGGCTTAGTGTCAGGGGGGTGGGTTGTCTAATACACGGTTTTAACAGGACTGGGACCTGATTTGCCGAGCTCCTAGCGACAAGCATTAACAACAGCCTCAAATTAGAGAGACATTAATATTCATAAGTAAAACAATTGATGGCGTGAATGTGTGAGGAGATGGGATCCCTCTGAGGTGAGCTCTCGTGTCCGGGCTGCCACCGTTCATTAAAATATGCCATTACCCGTGAAGTGCTTAATCTTTATGAAAGAGGGGCCGCGGAAGTCAGGCTGTGCACGCCCCCGACACAAAAGGAGGGAATTGTAGCTTTATTGTTGTGAGCGTAATCCAGAAATACACTGTTTTAATGTGTTTGTTTGTTTGTTAGGGCGTGTGTAATCCAGACTCAATCTGTTTAGGATGTTAGCAGTTTTTGGCTGAGTCCTGTCTCTAGTGAACTGTTTCATTATCACGCAGAGGTCTGTCACAAATATTTAATGTATGCGTCTAATTTGCATATTGTTACCGGAATGATCACAACAAATAATGATATGCAACCACTTTATTATTGCAGGTGTCACTGTTGGGTTTTTATTGGCTTCCGGCCTAAGTGGTGGCAACTTGACTTAACTTGTTGTTTTTATACAATCGTACAGTGGTAAGGTCTGGTTTGTTGATTTAAGGGTGTCCGAACTTGCACCAGTGGAGAATATTGAAATGCTGATAAAGCAGAGGACCAATCAAAAGCCATGGATTGATTTGTTTGTGCATTTTAAAACAGTTCCTAGTCCAGTTCCTGTAAAAAAAATATTTTTTTTGTGGTTTCTTAAAGGGTTGTATATGAATTGCATTCTTACTAGGTTTGTAACTTATGTTGCCAGTATTTTAAATAAGGAATCCACTTGGTAAGAAAATGTCAAATATACAATGCCATTCACAAAGCGTAACGCAAAGCTTAGATCGAGCTGACAAACAGTCAACGGGATGTATGAGCCACAGAGAGACAGATGCTCCGTGCATTATAGATAGATAATGAATGGACTGTAGAAATGTCTAATAAGTAATTAGCCTACTACTTCGGGAGGTGTTTGTATATCCACTGAGCTAAGAAAAAAAGTGCTGGATTGAACTTTACGTGAACAGGACAGATTTGCTTTCCTTTCATTATGAGTTCTGAAAAAAGCTTTAAAAGTCAGCACCAGGCGAACAGGTATTTTGTCCATTGTAATGATAAACAGATGGGACCAGTTCCTAAGAAGACATAAGCAGATGTCACATGACCACTGTCCTGTCTTTAATCAGATGTTGAGGCCCACAGAAGTGAGAACATGAGCTCCAATAGATAAAATGAGGAAACACTTCAACAATATTATTACTGAAGTGTGTTTAATATCTGGCACTCCAGTGCCTCCTGGCTCCCACCTAATAGTGGTCAAAATAAGATGCATTTGGGTCAGGTTTGTCTTGTAAAAATGATAATATTAATAATGATGCATTGGTTTATATAGCACTTTTTTGGACACTCAAAGATGCTTCACATGTCATTATTATTCACTCCATACACAGTGGTGATAGACTACTACTGTAGCAACAGCTGCCCTGGGGTACACTCACAGAAGCGAGGCAACCAGTATGTGCCATCGGCCCCTCTGACCACCGTCAACCATTCATGCACACAGTAGATGCATTCTAGACAATGTGCGTGAAGTGTCTTGCGTAAGCGGTGCCACGGTGCCACAGTGGGCTGTTGTGGGCCGGTGTGATGGGAGATGTGTTCCCAGATGTCTCCCATCACAGTACTAACCAGGCCCTGTCCTGCTCAGCTTCAGTGTTTTGACAAGATCTGCCTTTCACATGCAGTTGCCGTCTAAAAATATAGGGCAACTTACATTATTCTTACGTTGTACATTAAAGGGTCGGTGTGTTGGTACGCCAACAATTAACAATACACTTTATTGGGATTTCT